GGTTGGTTGGTAGTAAAATAACACACCATGGTCGGTTGGTAGTATCACAACACTGGCTGGTGGGTTGGTAGTATCACAACACAGGCTGGTTGGTTGGTAGTATGACTTAACAGAACACTGGCTGGTTGGTTGGTAGTATCACAACACAGGCTGGTTGGTTGGTAGCATTACTTAACACTGGATGGTTGGTTGGTAGCATGACTTAACACAACACAGGCTGGCTGGTTGGTAGCATGACTTAACACAACACACTTAACACAGGCTGGTGGGTAATCACACTGCTGGTTGGTTGGTAGTATCACAACACTGGCTGGTTGGTTGGTAGTATCACAACACTGGCTGGTGGGTTGGTAGTATCACAACACAGGCTGGTGGGTTGGTAGTATCACAACACAGGCTGGTGGGTTGGTAGTATCACAACACAGGCTGGTTGGTTGGTAGTATCACAACACAGGCTGGTTGGTTGGTAGTATGACTTAACAGAACACTGGCTGGCTGGTTGGTAGTATCACAACACAGTCTGGTTGGTTGGTAGCATTACTTAACACTGGATGGTTGGTTGGTAGCATGACTGAACACAACACAGGCTGGCTGGTTGGTAGCATGACTTAACACAACACGACTTAACACAGGCTGGTGGGTTGGTAGTATCACAACACAGGCTGGTTGGTTGGTAGTATCACAACACAGGCTGGTGGGTTGGTAGTATCACAACACAGGCTGGTTGATTGGTAGCATTACTTAACACAGGCTGGCTGGTTGGTAGCATGACTTAACGAAACTCGACTTAACACAGGCTGGTGGGTTGGTAGTATCACAACACAGGCTGGTTGGTTGGTAGTATCACAACACTGGCTAGTTTGTTGGTAGTATCACAACACAGGCTGGTGGGTTGGTAGTATCACAACACAGGCTGGTTGGTTGGTAGTATCACACCACAGGCTGGTTGGTTGGTAGTATGACTTAACAGAACACTGGCTGGTTGGTTGGTAGTATCACAACACAGGCTGGTTGGTTGGTAGCATTACTTAACACTGGATGGTTGGTTGGCAGCATGACTTAACACAACACAGGCTGGCTGGTTGGTAGTATCACAACACAGGCTGGTGGGTTGGTAGTATCACAGCACTGGCTGGTTGGTTGGTAGCATTACTTAACACAGGCTGGCTGGTTGGTAGCATAACTTAACACAACACGACTTAACACAGGCTGGTGGGTTGGTAGTATCACAACACAGGCTGGTTGGTTGGTAGTATCACAACACTGGCTTGTTTGTTGGTAGTATCACAACACAGGCTGGTGGGTTGGTAGTATCACAACACAGGCTGGTGGGTTGGTAGTATCACAACACAGGCTGGTTGGTTGGTAGTATGACTTAACAGAACACTGGCTGGTGGGTTGGTAGTATCACAACACAGGCTGGTTGGTTGGTAGCATTACTTAACACTGGCTGGTGGGTTGGCAGCATGACTTAGCACAACACGACTTAACACAGGCTGTTGGGTTGGTAGTATCACAACACTGGCTGGTTGGTTGGTAGTATCACAAAACAGGCTGAAGGATTGGTAGCATCACAACACTGGCTGGTGGGTTGGTAGTATCACAACACTGGCTGGTTGGTTGGTAGTATCACAACACTGGCTGGTGGGTTGGTAGTATCACAACACAGGCTGGTGGGTTGGTAGTATCACAACACTGGCTAGTTTGTTGGTAGTATCACAACACAGGCTGGTGAGTTGGTAATATCACAACACAGACTGGTGAGTTGGTAATATCACAACACTGGCTGGTGGGTTGGTGGTATCACGACACTGGCTGGTGTTGTGGTAGTATCACAACACAGGCTGGTGGGTTGGTAGTATCACAACACAGGCTGGTGGGTTGGTAGTATCACAACACAGACTGGTGGGTTGGTAGTATCACAACACTGGTTGGTTGGTAGTATCACAACACTGGTTGGTTGGTAGTATCACAACACAGGCTGGTTGGTAGCATGATTTAACACAACACAGACTGGTGGGTTGGTAGTATCACAACACAGACTGGTGGGTTGGTAGTATCACAACACTGGTGGGTTGGTAGTATCACAACACTGGTGGGTTGGTAGTATCACAACACTGGTGGGTTGGTAGTATCACAACACTGGTTGGTTGGTAGTATCACAACACTGGTGGGTTGGTAGTATCACAACACTGGTTGGTTGGTAGTATCACAACACTGGTTGGTTGGTAGCATGATTTAACACAACACAAGCTGGTGGGTTGGTAGTATCACAACACTGGTGGGTTGGTAGTATCACAACACTGGTTGGTTGGTAGTATCACAACACTGGTTGGTTGGTAGTATCACAACACTGGTTGGTTAGTAGCATTACTTAACACTGGATGGTGGGTTGGTAGTATCACAACACTGGCTGGTTGGTTGGACTTAACATAACACTTGCAGGTGTGTGAAACCCATTTCTGGTGTACCCCGCCATGCTGGAATATTCCTAAAAGCGGCGTAGCCTCACTCACTCACTCACTCTCTCACTCCATACACAAGGAGGTACCTCTGCTTTGGGAGAATGAGTACAGTAATGAACCAACGTTGATGAACCTTGATGTTTTTTATGGTGATTAAAAAATCAATTATATTTCCCTTCCGTGTATGATGTAGATTTTGAGCATATATTTATACAGCATGTGATACTGAAGACTTGGTTGTTGTTGGTTTTTGTTGCATGAGAATGTATTAAAAGTAGCATGTGTCTTTGATGTGTCCAATGAGGTACTAAAGTTCACAGCAGATGCAACAGTTGGATCATATTGTGATGCTTTAAGCCAGAGGTGCAAGCTATCATGAGGTTGTGTATCTTTTCTTCTGATTGTTATGTGTGGTCTCAGTTTGCTGCTGTGGTTATTTGATGCTCTACTTCTGTGTGCTAGCTGAATTGTATTTTATAACTTTGCATGGGCTGGAGACCTGAGAATTTCTTTTAGTTTGATACACTTTTGTATTGTGATACTGGTGAGCAATCCATTGAGGACCTTAACATCGGACCATATCCTATTCATGTCTTACTTTCTGTGAAATCCTTGTTCCAGTATTTGATATAATAGAAAGAAGTTTGGTTACATGTGTATGCTATGATTGATGTAAGATAAAGTAGTAACAATATGACTCTCACAGCCCTTGAATCAGGACATGCAGTTTAAAGTGTGTGAGACAGTGAGTCCAGTTGTACGCTTCTTTTAGCAATATTCCAGCAATATTCCAGCAATATCACAGATAGGGAAACTAGAAATGGGCTTCACATATTGTACCCATGTGGGTAAATCAAACCCGGGTCTTCTGCATGATGAGCAAACACTTTAACCACAAGGCTACCCCACCGCCCCATGCAGTTTACATGTAAGCTTTTGTAAAAACTATGCATTGGTCATTCAGGTCTGTCGCATAACTTAACCAGCAGCTGTTTGAAGTTATTTAATGCAGATGAGTTTAGTCACAAATGAACACACTAATTGCAAAGCTTCCATTTCTCACTGGGTACTGATTACATCCAAACCTGCACTCAATTTGGCACTAGCACATGTAACAAAATCACTCATCTGCACGGAGTATTTCAAGTGAGGTTTTACAAGAGATATGATAGGAAATATGTGATGAGCATTTTGTATAAAGTAAAACATATTCCTTTTCTTTTGTTCTTCAAAAACATGTGGGCATTGAATGAAATAGACTATAGAGTGGGTTTCCTTCCTACTGTTGTGAGCCAAGTCCCTGGTGCCAACTGTTTCCCCCCCTCCCGGCTTCCCCCCCTTCCCTGACTGCAGTAGGCAGCAGTGTCTGCAAATACAACACAAAGTGGAAGGAACTTGAGGCTCACTGCCACTGTCAGTTTGGGTCTGGTCCCGACTTAATGTTTGAGGTATTGCATGTTGTGGAGGAGCAGGCGCTGTGAAGCAGGGTCAGCCCAGCTACACCAACATATGATGGCATCTCGAGAGTGAATAATTACTCCTAACCCACACTGCTCTATTCCTGTGGAGAGTCAGAACTAAAATACTCTTGTTTTCTTTTCCCCATTCACAAGCCCAGGTATAGTCTGCTCCATACATCAGTGGGGAGGTGGGTCTCATCTCCCTTGTCTGCCTTGTTCATTGCGCCTCACCAGCTGAAAACAGGATTGTCCCTCACACTTCCTCAGCATTACTAGTGCATGTATTTTTATATGTTTATATATCAATTAGCAATGACTTGTAAACTTCCATTTAGAACATGCATTGTTGAGATTCAAACTTGAAAGGATTATTATTGGAAGGTGTTCATGGTGATTTGTATTATGTTTTTGAAAGGTAATATGAAAATGCTGCGAAGATATGACTATCTGCTATTGATCACAGTAGAGAGAGTAACCCTCGAGTAGGGTTTATATTGCTTCATTGTCCACTGGGGAAAATGCTTGCTAGGCTCATTGGCTGGGCTGGATCTGTTGGGTATTTCTAACTGAGGAGTGGGTGACATACATTTAATTCACTGCAACTTGGAGGCAAAGTGAGCTCATGTCTTTGTCTGTGTCTTTCCCAACTCCAGGACTGGACTTAATAGACATGGTAACAATACTTTCTGCACTAAGTGAAAGCATTTTTATGATAAATTTTGTTCAGAATATTAAAAAACATTGTTCCAACAGCAGATGGCTGGGAAAGCTGACAATTCTGTTCATGACTGTTGTAAGGGGTAATCTAAATGACTAAGAAACTAGGTTTCTTTAAATTTCAAGTCTCTTTAACAAATTTCATCCTGAGAGTGTCATGTTTTGAATATATTCTCTTGATCCGTAACTCTCTCACTGACCTAATATAGCACTTTTCCACTATAATGAATTTACTTGATTATTATGCGTAGACATTTTGTATAGATTTGTACTTTCCATGAAAGGTCTGATCTTGTAGTTGAGTGATAACAAGTCTTTCTGTATGCTGTATTTGTAAACGGTGTTTTGTGTGTTTCAGCATTGGAAGGATGTGTCTGCACTAGCCAAGGACTTCATCAGCAAGCTGTTGGTTCTGGATCCAGACACTCGGGGCACTTCGGCACAGTGCTTGAAACACCCATGGATCACAACAAACGCTGCCTCATCAAGTAACAAGAATCTCCATCGCACAATTAGCCAAAACCTGTTGCATCGTCAGTCCCTGCATGCCAATAGTACAAGTGCCAAATCGACAAAGTCCAACAAAAGTAATAAGTCCAACAAGTCGGCAAGGTCACTTCGGTCTGACCATCGCCGTGTGCAGCCAGAAGAGATTGATGAACTTCACAAAGATCCTGAAGTTCAGGCAGACATTGCGTCCATTGGCAGTCACCATAGCAACTACAGCCATCGAACGTAACTCCAAGAATTGTCAGTTTCTTGACACTAAAGCTGGGTAATCAGTTTCATTGCTACCTGGCTTAACTTTGAATTGCCATCTCAGGAGTTGTGTATTTATCATGAGAAATGTGTACAGAATATTGACTTTTCCCAAAACCATCATGCTACAAGTATGCCTCTCATGTGTGTGAGGACATCTGTCGGCAGCTTTCTAATGGCATGTTGTCAGGCAGGTAGCATGTGCCAGATGTGACTGGACAGTTGGCTGCAAGGGCAAGGATGTGATTGGTCAGTAGATGTGATATTGTACAGAAAACCTGTAAACTAAGGTTGTTGATCTACATATTTCCCAGCATGGCATCCCTGATGGACGTTGAACACACTAGGTATGTGGCTGGTAAAGGACTCGGGATGGAGTCAGTTGTGATGTTCCACTGTCGTCTGAGTTAGGTTGCGGGCCAGCCTCTTCTCCTCTGATTCCACTAATACAATGGTTTCCTTTGTCATAGGATGTCAGCATGACCAGATTTAACCGATTATCATTTTGAAACTTCTTTATGATTTATCTCTTGTCAAAGGAAGAGATCATATGGAATAATTCAATTATGGAAGAGGTTCTCTGTTGACAACAGTCTTGAATGGTATTAAAGATACATGAATTTTTAAGATTTAAAAAATGGGGGTTTATGATGGATGTTCAGTTTCGGTTGACTAAATATACAGTTTTGAAAGAAATTGTAGTCCAGAAGGACACAAGACACAAGACAAGTAAGCACCTTTCGAGAAAGATGGACATTATGATGATTCACATAGTTCGCAGTGTTGGCCGAAATCTCATCTTTCCTTGTGTCGTATTGATCCCACAATATTGACAGTTTTACTACCTGTGAAACTACATGTCAAAGACTCTTTCAAGGCCTTGTGATATGAAATTATCTCTGTACTTGAGATACACACCCAGGTGATACAAGACATCTTTGAATACTCACATTTTCCTGTAGATGATTGCTTTGAACATGCTCATGAGCCATAAGCTTTACAAAATATACTGCTTTCTTAAAACCATATTTACTTGTTGAGTGATGTTGTCTGAAAAGTAATGCTTCACTGAAAGAAAGGGTTTTTAATATTTTGGTTTTAGTCCAAAAGGTACATGATTTTTTTTGGCATGTTATTGCAAAGCTAAATCTTTTTCTTTTGAAATTTGAATACAAAGCTGAAATTGATATCCATCTACATTTATGTAAAATTATGTTAGGACTGTGTTATCTTGATCTGAAGTAATATAGCTAATATTTGAACAGTTATCTGCACGAAATCTGTTGGCTGATCTGATTGGTTATTGTGTACATTTTGCCCTGCTCATGTGACCTTTTCAAACATGCGTGCCACTACATCTGTGTAATATATTGTCTTATTCATCAGCACCAACTTTGTTTAATGTGATCCATTTCTACCTCTTGTATGGTATTAATGTATATATCATGTATGTCAGTTGAGCAAAATATCTCATATGAGCTCTGTAAAATCTATAATTGGTCCTCTAGTTCATCAATATGTGTTTGATGTCTTTACTCAAGAAGGAAATTGATGTATGTCTTCAACACTGGTTTGCTTCATTCTGTGACACAGGGCGGTGGGGTAGTCTAGTGGTTAAAGCTCGCCATGCTGAAGGCCCAGGATCCATTCCCCACATGGGTACATTGTGTGAAGCCCATTTCTGGTGTCTCCTGCAGTGATATTGCTGAAATATTGCTAAAAGCAGCGTAAAACCGTACTCGCTCACTCACTCATTCTCTGACACAGCAATGCATTAGAAGTGCCTTTTTAAAGGTATTAAAACTCTCTCTTACCGCCAAACAAGTTGCTAACTCACTGTCAATGTAATTACACTTCTGGCAAATATGATTGACATATTGAAATGGATTCTAACCGTCCAACTGGAAGTTGTGGAATTTGTTGTACATTAAGACATGCATTTCTATGAGTTAAAGTTGTTGTGAAATAATTAAGCTTTGTCTGGGTGGAGCCAAACTCAATGTATTGTTGCCATGATCTGGTCTGACTGGTTGCTGGTGAAACAGGCTGAATATCATGTGTTTGAACCATTGTAGATCTGAGTACATTCTTTAGGCATAGTGCTTGCTACACCTTGTATACTGATATTTTTGTTCAATCAAAACTTGTTGAAATTGTTCTTTTTGTTAATTCAAAGTGTTTTGGTGTAAAGCCGTTGTTATTTCAAGAACTTCTTTCTTCATAATAACATGAAGTGATATTTATATTTTTAGTACTTAGTGCTAAACTTTAATGGGTTATTTCTAGTGCCAATTCTCAATGTACCGTCCATTTTAATATGTAGTATTACATTTATTTAATATATTTTTTAATGAATGTGTAGCTGATGGTATAGTTACTTGTTATTCCAATGTGCCATACATCCTTATTTTTGTGGTTTTTATTTTCATGATCGAATCTAAACTTCGCTGATCATTTGATTATTTTCTCAAAATAATTTGAGTTTGATTTAAATTTTACAAAATTGTCCATTTTATCAGTTCTGTTGCTAGAACATGTTCACTATGTCATACATATTTTCTGAAGAAGGAATTTACTTCTGAATAATTTCAACTTTGGAGTAATATTTTTTTCACATGGCTGTTTTGCATATCTCTGTTGATGATTCTATTGCAAAGATTTTGCTAATGTACATTTGCATCAAGAACCATATTTGTCATGCATTTTTGTTCTCTAGTCACGGATCTGTGATGTCTCACATTTGCAACTCTTGAGCATGTTGATCACAACAAAGAAAACTCATCAACGAATTTGTGTCCATGTCTTTCACTACAAAAGTTGGAAATATCTGACTACTTAATAGCTAACATGAGCAAACACCCTGGTTTTTAGGGTTGTATTGAAACACTTAGTAGGATATGATACATGGTTATCAGGCCACGATACAATACATGATATGATGTCAAGTCAACACTTGCCTTCATTGGAAGCCATATTTCAACACCTGTGGTGCCCAGCTATGATATTGCTCTAGCATATATCCGGTGTATGAAATAAGCAAGACATCCAGCCAGACATCAGGATTTAACCAGACCAAATATGGTGAATTTACACAGATGCATGGAACATCTAAAAAAAATTACCAGACCATCAAGCTGGCTGGTTGTAAATTTAGACCGTCCGTCAGAGATCTAGACTGTCTCGGGCGGGCGGTCGGACGGGCCTTATTTCATACACTGGCATATCAGTAGCCTGAGAACTTGTGGACATGTTGGAAAGATTTAGAGGCCATATTCCATCTTCACTGGGACGAGCATAAGCAAGCCACAATAAGAAAGTTTGGATTCCATCAAATGCAAATGAGCAGTGGTTTGAGAACTTACTTATTTCTGTTGGAATACATTACTAGAAATTCTATTGTGGCACAAATTATGGTGATGCACTGAAGCATAGGTGAATCCTGGTACCTGTAGTATCCTCTCTCCCTAACAATGGGAACTGTTGGGAGCACAGCGCTTATACATTATAGGAAATCAAAAACTACAGATTTCTGAAATCTCAATTGATATATATGCTCTCCATCAACAGATGAGGTAATATTGTTGCTTAAATGTTTGCTCTTAGCTCACAATGTTAATATTGTTTGACCATGTTTTGTACATATATGTGTCTGTATATAGGACATGTTGATTGTCTGTCGTCACCTGTGCCTTCTGTGTCAATCAGGCTAACATTATTCATGAAGCAACATACATCTCTCCCCAGTCCATATGGCCTCCTGCTTGTTCAAGAGTAACCATGGTAACATGCTTTGACATTGTCAGTGGTGTATGCCTCAATGCAAGGTGATGTTGATGGCCTAGATTTTGTCATTATTGATTTCAATTTCTAATTTATATTTCAACTTTGATGGAGTTTTACATGTTCAGAGTATGGATGATATTATTTACTTTTGGTGAAGTTGTAAATATGAGAACTCCATGTTTAATTTTTAATATCACTGGCATTTTGTTTGAAGCAGTGCATATGGTGGCCATATTGCTGTGGGTAGGCGTATAAGGGTAAAACAGGTCTGTGTTGTGCGAGGACAATTCATTGTTTCTATATGAAGAAGTGCTCTCCCTTTCATGTATTGTGAGAAAAAAAAATTGTAATGAAAAGCTGCATGTTTCAAATTTTAAGAATATCCTGAACTAGACATTTCTTTTGAAAAAACTGGACTTTGAAATTGTGGAATTACTATTTATGTGGGAAGGGACTTTAGTTCTCTGTTTGGGTATGTTTACAGCAAGGAGGAGCACTTCTTTGTAAAAGTTGCATGTGCATTGTTAACATCAATTGTCAATCAGATAAAGTCTTTGAAATTATTTTCAAGAGGTCATGTTTTGACCATTCTGCACTAGTTATCAATTACACACTTAAACAGATTTTTGTAGAACAAGCTGTTTTGTCAATGTCTTGCACATAATTGAAACAAGAAAATATATAGCAAGCAATTTTGTTGCAGAGAATTGTATGTAAGGGTACTTTGAATCAGGAACATTTAAAGAGCAGTGTTTGTGGCATGTTGATAAAAACATTTTGAATAGTGCTAAGAAACAAAACGAACTCAATGGATTGTATTATTCAGTGGAAAGATGTTGTGTCCTTGACAAATAAGCTTATTTTACAAGTGTAGTGATTTAAAAATATTTTGATAATGCCTTGCCGTCCATCCATCAATTGCTGTAGTTATTTTGTGTATGAAAACTCGTAGATATTTATAAAGCCATGTGTCTCAGGAGCAATGCACAGAATGCAGAATAACATAAGGCTCAAAGATTCTAGATTTTCCTCCATGTAATATTTGTTACGTTTTGCTCTGTAAAATTTTCCCAATTATCTAATTGTTGGCATAATCTGGTTAAAGAGAAAGTGTTCTATCATGTTAAGCCCCTAGATTTGATCCTATATATTTTTGCATGTTTTGTTTAAACGCGTGAAAACGAAAATGCACAGAACATGCATAAGGGTTGCATATCAAGGGTATAGATTGTCTCCCCTTAATTTTAAAACATTTACCGGTAAGTGGTTTCATGGGAAAATAGTCACAAATTGCTACTTGACGGGAGAATTTAAAGGATGACTACTTGGGAACACTGTGTTTGTATCTTTACGCATATTTATCAATGGTTTGATACTTACAGACAATAGGCCCTTCCTGTACTGTGAGGTTAGTCTATGTAGTAGTGCAATGTAGATCCAAATTTTGCTACGTTCAATTTTGTAAAATGTGTTAAGTTTAATAAAATCTGTATATCCTCTATATGTGTGTTATGTGTTGACCTGGGGGAGTGGGGTAGCCTAATGGTTAAAGCATCAGCTTGTCACGGCGAAGATCCGGGTTTGATTCCCCATGCGACTACAATATGTGAAGCCCATTTCTGGTGTCGCCCGCTGTGATATAACTGGAATATTGCTAATAGCAGTGTAAAAACATACTCACTCACTGATGTATTTACCTCCACGTAGTGATGCCAGGGCAGTTGTCCCTTCACCCAGCTCATTTTGGGGAACTGACGAGTAACAGCGATCTTTTGACTGGGTTGGTTTCCTTTAATCATTCCCCATTGGAATACATAGAATTATCATAGAATTAACAAGTAGCCTGGCAAGGTGTGTTGCCACTGTGAAGGTATCATTTTGCCAAACAATCTTCACGTTGACATATAACATTAACACTTATCACAGCCAATCTGTATAAACATAGCATCTGACCATGAAACAAGTACTCTCTGTTTATCTTCATTTACATAAAACAAACAATAAAAATAAATGCAACTTCAAGATTTTGGTTGAAAATGTGCCCCAGCAATCTATGATGGTTATATTAGACCAAAGAAATGGTTTGTTGTTTAATGCCACGCTCAGCAATATTCCAGCTATATGGCAGCAGTGTGTAAATAATCGGGTCTGACAATCCAGTGATCAACGGCATGAGCATCAATCTCCGCATCGATCTACGATGACGTGTGTCAACCAAGTCAGAGAATCTGACCACCCAATCCTGTTAGTTGCCTCTTACAACAAGCAATGATTACTGAAGATCAATTCTAACCCAGATCTTCACAGGTCGACCAAAGAGGTATTGTCAGCTGAGAACCCTGATGGGCATTGTTCAAAACATCAATAACTGGATTGTCTGGGCAGACCTGATCATTCACAAGCGGTCACCACCATATACCTGGGGTATGGCCAAGTGAAGCACTGCACAACATCAATGACTGGATTGTGTGGGCAGACCTGATCATTCACAAGCGGTCACCACCATATACCTGGGGTATGGCCAAGTGAAGCACTGCACAACATCAATGACTGGATTGTGTGGGCAGACCTGATCATTCACAAGCGGTCACCACCATATACCTGGGGTATGGCCAAGTGAAGCACTGCACAAAACCAATGACTGGATTGTGTGGGCAGACCTGATCATTCACAAGCGGTCACCACCATATACCTGGGGTATGGCCAAGTGAAGCACTGCACAACACCAATGACTGGATTGTGTGGGCAGACCTGATCATTCACAAGCGGTCACCACCATATACCTGGGGTATGGCCAAGTGAAGCACTGCACAACACCAATGACTGGATTGTGTGGGCAGACCTGATCATTCACAAGCGGTCACCACCATATACCTGGGGTATGGCCAAGTGGAGCATCACACAACATCAATGACTGGATTGTGTGGGCAGACCTGATCATTCACAAGCGGTCACCACCATATACCTGGGGTATGGCCAAGTGAAGCACTGCACAACATCAATGACTGGATTGTGTGGGCAGACCTGATCATTCACAAGCGGTCACCACCATATTCCTGGGGTATGGCCAAGTGAAGCACTGCACAACACCAATGACTGGATTGTGTGGGCAGACCTGATCATTCACAAGCGACCACCACCATATACCTGGGGTATGGCCAAGTGAAGCACTACACAACACCAATGACTGGATTGTGTGGGCAGACCTGATCATTCACAAGCGGTCACCACCATATACCTGGGGTATGGCCAAGTGAAGCACTGCACAACACCAATGACTGGATTGTGTGGGCAGACCTGATCATTCACAAGCGTCACCACCATATACCTGGGGTATGGCCAAGTGAAGCACTGCACAACACCAATGACTGGATTGTGTGGGCAGACCTGATCATTCACAAGCGGTCACCACCATATACCTGGGGTATGGCCAAGTGAAGCACTGCACAACACCAATGACTGGATTGTGTGGGCAGACCTGATCATTCACAAGCGGTCACCACCATATACCTGGGGTATGGCCAAGTGAAGCACTGCACAACATCAATGACTGGATTGTGTGGGCAGACCTGATCATTCACAAGCGGTCACCACCATATACCTGGGGTATGGCCAAGTGAAGCACTGCACAACATCAATGACTGGATTGTGTGGGCAGACCTGATCATTCACAAGCGGTCACCACCATATACCTAAGGTATGGCCAAGTGGAGCATCACACAACATCAATGACCATACTTCGTGTTCATGCCGAGTCAGACTCTGGTATGCCTCCATTATTAGACCACTGACAGGTCATGTGATATGACTGCTGAATGCTGCATTGAAACGACCCTCAACTACATCCAGCTCTAGATGGTTGTAAGGAATGTGGTTAGTCCAGTGGTCAGTGCGTTAGCCTGTTCCTCGGCAATTTCATTAATAATTCTTCACTATTTCTCAACACCAACTGAATACTTTAGTGCTCCCATGGATGAGCTGTAGCAAGTTCTATCCCAAGATCATAACTGGTACATTGATATTAGGCTTTAAGTGGAGTATTTAAATCATTTTCAGATTAAGTCAGATTTCAGTGGTTGTAACTGTACACTTCAGGTCAGATCCATCATGCCATGATTGAAGTCTGTGGCAGCAGCTTGAGTGAGGTGTGAGGCCAAATATCTCTGTGTTACTCACATACTATGTTGTACATATTTTACTGGCAAATCATTAAAGGTGAATGAGACAAATTATAGGAGAGAAAAGTGTCAGTAAATGTCACTTCTTCACAAGTGATATGTAGTATTTGCAACTCTAAAGATTTGAAAAACAGATCCTCTTCAGCCTGTCAGCCAGCAGACCTGTCAACATGTCAAGGAAGATAGAGTAGCTTCATTTACAAGCTGTTATCTGGGCAGGTGAACGACCTGACTCATCATTTGGTGAGTTCCCCATTTATGTGAGCGCCTTACATCAGTGCAGCTTGTGCAGCAGGGAACCTGACACTGGTGTCGTGTGGCAAGGTACCTTATAATGGCGACTTGTGATTACATTTCATTGATGTTCAAGAAGACGAAGTAAATACTCATTTTGTAGGTCATTCTTTGACACAGTAATCAATATTCAGCTATGTGGGAGAGCGTTGATAGTAATCTACATTGGATTTATTCACACCTGATTAAATACACTTAATACTGGGTATGTTGAGATTTGATTGAAAAGATAAGAGACAACAGTTAGAGGGGGTGGCAGTGGGGTGGGGTTATCATGGCCTGGATAATATATGTCTAGTAAATAAAACACAGTGCTGTTTTACTTGGATCAAGTAACCTTTTGTCTGTGTCCACATACTCAGGTTTTGAAGGATGTCAAATTACATTATATACCTGTACAAATTGACAAAGTAATTCCTCTGTAATGCAAGGCTGATTGAAACAACACATTTATCCAAATTGTAAATTGCATAAAACATATCACAACCATTTATATTCTTGTGAGAAATACACTCAATGTTCCGAGTATGAAAGGTTGAATTTCTTGAACCAAACACAGAAATTCCCATCCCATTGAAGCATCATTATTTAACAATAATCATAGGTGGATCCAGGAATTTTAAAAAAAAAAGAGAGAGAGTGAGTGAGAGAGAGAGAAAGAAACCTGGAAACACAGGTACAGTACTCACAAACCAGGAAACACAGGTACAGTACTCACAAACCAGGAAACACAGGTACAGTACTGTCATACCTGGAAACACAGGTACAGTACTGACAAACCAGGAAACACAGGTACAGTACTGACAAACCAGGAAACACAGGTACAGTACTCACAAACCAGGAAACACAGGTACAGTACTCACAAACCAGGAAACACAGGTACAGTACTCACAAACCAGGAAACACAGGTACAATACTGTCATACCTGGAAACACAGGTACAGTACTGACAAACCTGGAAACACAGGTACAGTACTGACAAACCAGGAAACACAGGTACAGTACTGTCATACCTGGAAACACTGGTACGGTACTGACAAACCTGGAAACACAGGTACAGTACTGACAAACCAGGAAACACAGGTACAGTACTGACAAACCTGGAAACACTGGTACAGTACTGACAAACCTGGAAACACAGGTACAGTACTGACAAACCTGGAAACACAGGTACAGTACTGACAAACCAGGAAACACAGGTACAGTACTGACAAACCTGGGAAACAAACCTGGAAACACAGTACTGACAAACCTGGTACACAGGTACTGACAAACCTGGAAACACAGGTACAGTACTGACAAACACAGGAAACACACAGGTACAGTACTGACAAACCTGGAAACACACAAACCTGGTGGTACAGTACTGACAAACCAGGAAACAGGTGTACTGAAACAAACACAGGTACAGTACTGACAAACCAGGAAACACAGGTACAGTACTGACAAACCTGGAAACACAGGTACAGTACTGACAAACCTGGAAACACAGGTACAGTACTGACAAACCTGGAAACACAGGTACAAACCTGACAAACCTGGAAACACAGGTACAGTACTGCCATACCTGGAAACAGGTACGGTACTGCCATACCTGGAAACAGGTACGGTACTGCCATACCTGGAAACACAGGTACAGTACTGACAAACCAGGAAACACAGGTACAGTACTCACAAACCAGGAAACACAGGTACAGTACTCACAAACCAGGAAACACAGGTACAGTACTGACAAACCTGGAAACAGGTACGGTACTGCCATACCTGGAAACAAGCATGTCATACCAAGATTTGAATCCTTGACCATAGATTGCTGGTACACCCAACTGGCACAGCTCTGCAAGCTGTGGTAGGTTGTTATTGTGTAACAATTTGGCAAATCCAAAATATGAGGCATGGTGAAGTCAACAAATGATTACAATCAGTCTAATTAACAATCAGGTATCAACTGAGGTTTTCACCAGTGGGGCACCCATGTTGAGATAGCTAATGACATCTTGCCATACCTGTAAGCTGGGATATACCTTATATATTTTCAAAGTGAATGGGAAAGGGTATATCATTACATAGTTACACTTTGTGTTTTAAAAGGTGATAATGCTCAGGGTGTAACAATCCGTTGTGAGCAATGATCCAATGAGGTCACATGATACACAATGAACCAAGTCACCATGACAACCGATACCATTGGTAGCCCATCATTACCAGGATAAGTTGCTGGGGATTATTCCTAACCTGGATTCCCTACAGGATAATGTTTCTAGCAAAAGTAAATATAGAACACCCAGCACTATTGCAAACAATGGTAGAACTCACTGATTAATTTGGACTAAAAACAACATCTTGATATGATACATCTTGTTTATTTTACAAACTATACACTCAAAAATTGCTTGACAGATGGCTTCAGTGTTTCCTGCAAGAGAAAAAAAATCAATTATACTTTCAACTAAAAACAAACCTTTCATTTAGAGACATCTTGAATGCAGCACTCAGTCACTTATTATGACCCGGAAACTCTATACAGGCTCTGGATCATTACATGAGAAATGTGAAGAAATGACATTCTTTTCTAAATCAAAATTTTCAGGTTGATATAAAAACTTCTCTGTCAACTGGAGATATTTACAAGAGCAAGCACTCTATCACAGACAAACAGGGAAACTGCACAAATATACAATGCATCATTAGTCTTTGGGTAATAACACATATTAATGGTAGACATCGTGTATGGGACCATTGTAATCCTGATGCCACAGGGTGAGTGAGTGGGTTTAGTTTTATGCCGCACACAGCAATATTCCTGCTATATGGCAGTGGTTGGTAAATAATCGAGTCTGGACCAGACAACCCAGTGATCAACAGCATGAGCATCGATCTATACAATTCGGACAAGATGACGTGTCAACCAGCAAATCTGACCATCCGATCCCATTATTCATCTCTTCCGACAAGCATGGGTTACTGAAGACCAATGATAACCAGGATTTTCATATGGAGTTAAACAAGTATTGTTGTATGAAATACCTTTTCTTTTTATTTTGTGATTGCTTCTTGCCCTGCGGCTTCTTGCCCTGCGGCTTCTTTCCCTGCAGCTTCTTTCCCTGCGGCTGCTTATTACTGTGTGGATTACCGCCCTTCTTCTTCTTCCCCACCAGTCCCAAGTCCTTGCGTTCCTGGTAGGATGGTCTGAAACAAGTAACACTCACAGTCAGGGATTCCATCTGGATGTCTGTTCCCAGGTGGTTGTGTGTGACAGTCAGTGTTCCCAGGTGGTTGTGTGTGACAGTCAGTGTTCCCAGGTGGTTGTGTGTGACAGTCAGTGTTCCCAGGTGGTTGTGTGTGACAGTCAGTGTTCCCAGGTGGTTGTGTGTGACAGTCAGTGATCCCAGGTGGTTGTGTGTGACAGTCAGTGTTCCAGGTGGTGGTTGTGTGACAGTCAGTTCCCAGGTGGTTGTGTGTGAGTCAGTGTCCAGTGGTTTGTGTGTGACAGTCAGTGTTCCCAGGTGGTTGTGTGTGACAGTCAGTGATCCCAGGTGGTTGTGTGTGACAGTCAGTGTTCCCAGGTGGTTGTGTGTGACAGTCAGTGGTTGTCCCAGGTGGTTGTGTGTGACAGTCAGTGTTGATCCAGGTGGTTGTGTGTGACAGTCAGTGATCCCAGGTGGTTGTGTGTGACAGTCAGTGTTCCCAGGTGGTTGTGTGTGACAGTCAGTGATCCCAGGTGGTTGTGTGTGACAGTCAGTGTTCCCAGGTGGTTGTGTGTGACAGTCAGTGATCCCAGGTGGTTGTGTGTGACAGTCCAGTGGTTCCCAGGTGGTTGTGTGTGACAGTCAGTGTTCCCAGGTGGTTGTGTGTGACAGTCAGTGTTCCCAGGTGGTTGTGTGTGACAGTCAGTGTTCCCAGGTGGTTGTGTGTGACAGACAGTCAGTGATCCCAGGTGGTTGTGTGTGACAGTCAGTGATCCCAGGTGGTTGTGTGTGACAGTCAGTGATCCCAGGTGGTTGTGTGTGACAGTCAGTGTTCCCAGGTGGTTGTGTGTGACAGTCAGTGATCCAGGTGGTTGTGTGTGACAGGTGGTTGTGTGTGACAGTCAGTGTTCCCAGGTGGTTGTGTGTGACAGTCAGTGTTCCCAGGTGGTTGTGTGTGACAGTCAGTGATCCCAGGTGGTTGTGTGTGACAGTCAGTGATCCCAGGTGGTTGTGTGTGACAGTCAGTGTTCCAGGTGGTTGTGTGTGACAGTCAGTGATCCCAGGTGGTTGTGTGTGACAGTCAGTGTTCCCAGGTGGTTGTGTGTGACAGTCAAGTGATCCCGGGTGGTTGTGTGTGACAGTCAGTGTTCCCAGGTGGTTGTGTGTGACAGTCAGTGATCCCAGGTGGTTGTGTGTGACAGTCAGTGTTCCCAGGTGGTTGTGTGTGACAGTCAGTGATCCCAGGTGGTTGTGTGTGACAGTCAGTGTTCCCAGGTGGTGGTTGTTCCCAGTGTGTGTGACCCAGGTGGTTGTGTGTGTGAGTCAGTGTTCCCAGGTGGTTGTGTGTGACAGTCAGTGATCCCAGGTGGTTGTGTGTGACAGTCAGTGTTCCCAGGTGGTTGTGTGTGACAGTCAGTGATCCCAGGTGGTTGTGTGTGACAGTCAGTGATCCCAGGTGGTTGTGTGTGACAGTCAGTGATCCCAGGTGGTTGTGTGTGACAGTCAGTGATCCCAGGTGGTTGTGTGTGACAGTCAGTGATCCCAGGTGGTTGTGTGTGACAGTCAGTGTTCCCAGGTGGTTGTGTGTGACAGTCAGTGATCCCAGGTGGTTGTGTGTGACAGTCAGTGTTCCCAGGTGGTTGTGTGTGACAGTCAGTGTTCCCAGGTGGTTGTGTGTGACAGTCAGTGATCCCAGGTGGTTGTGTGTGACAGTCAGTGATCCCAGGTGGTTGTGTGTGACAGTCAGTGATCCCAGGTGGTTGTGTGTGACAGTCAGTGATCCCAGGTGGTTGTGTGTGACAGTCAGTGATCCCAGGTGGTTGTGTGTGACAGTCAGTGTTCCCAGGTGGTTGTGTGTGACAGTCAGTGATCCCAGGTGGTTGTGTGTGACAGTCAGTGTTCCCAGGTGGTTGTGTGTGACAGTCAGTGATCCCAGGTGGTTGTGTGTGACAGTCAGTGATCCCAGGTGGTTGTGTGTGACAGTCAGTGATCCCAGGTGGTTGTGTGTGACAGTCAGTGTTCCCAGGTGGTTGTGTGTGACAGTCAGTGTTCCCAGGTGGTTGTGTGTGACAGTCAGTGATCCCGGTGGTTGTGTGTGACAGTCAGTGATCCCAGGTGGTTGTGTGTGACAGTCAGTGATCCCAGGTGGTTGTGTGTGACAGTCAGTGATCCCAGGTGGTTGTGTGTGACAGTCAGTGATCCCAGGTGGTTGTGTGTGACAGTCAGTGATGTTCCCAGGTGGTTGTGTGTGACAGTCAGTGTTCCCAGGTGGTTGTGTGTGACAGTCAGTGATCCCAGGTGGTTGTGTGTGACAGTCAGTGTTCCCAGGTGGTTGTGTGTGAAAGTCAGTGATCCCAGGTGGTTGTGTGTGACAGTCAGTGTTCCCAGGTGGTTGTGTGTGACAGTCAGTGATCCCAGGTGGTTGTGTGTGACAGTCAGTGATCCCAGGTGGTTGTGTGTGACAGTCAGTGATCCCAGGTGGTTGTGTGTGACAGTCAGTGTTCCCAGGTGGTTGTGTGTGACAGTCAGTGATCCCAGGTGGTTGTGTGTGACAGTCAGTGTTCCCAGGTGGTTGTGTGTGACAGTCAGTGATCCCAGGTGGTTGTGTGTGACAGTCAGTGATCCCAGGTGGTTGTGTGTGACAGTCAGTGATCCCAGGTGGTTGTGTGTGACAGTCAGTGATCCCAGGTGGTTGTGTGTGACAGTCAGTGATCCCAGGTGGTTGTGTGTGACAGTCAGTGATCCCAGGTGGTTGTGTGTGACAGTCAGTGATCCCAGGTGGTTGTGTGTGACAGGTGGTCCCAGGTGGTTGTGTGTGACAGTCAGTGATCCCAGGTGGTTGTGTGTGACAGTCAGTGATCCCAGGTGGTTGTGTGTGACAGTCAGTGATCCCAGGTGGTTGTGTGTGACAGTCAGTGATCCCAGGTGGTTGTGTGTGACAGTCAGTGATCCCAGGTGGTTGTGTGTGACAGTCAGTGTTCCCAGGTGGTTGTGTGTGACAGTCAGTGATCCCAGGTGGTTGTGTGTGTGACAGTCAGTGATCCCAGGTGGTTGTGTGTGACAGTCAGTGATCCCAGGTGGTTGTGTGTGACAAAGTCAGTGATCCCCAGGTGGTTGTGTGTGACAGTCCAGTGATCCCAGGTGGTTGTGTGTGTGTGTGGTTGTGTGTGAAGTCAGTGATCCCAGGTGGTTGTGTGTGACAGTCAGTGATCCAGGTGGTTGTGTGTGACAGTCAAGTGATCCCAGGTGGTTGTGTGTGACAGTCCAGTGTTTCCCAGGTGGTTGTGTGTGAAAGTCAGTGATCCCAGGTGGTTGTGTGTGACAGTCCAGTGTTCCCAGGTGGTTGTGTGTGACAGTCAGTGTTCCCAGGTGGTTGTGTGTGACAGTCAGTGATCCCAGGTGGTTGTGTGTGACAGTCAGTGATCCCAGGTGGTTGTGTGTGTGACAGTCAGTGATCCCAGGTGGTTGTGTGTGACAGTCAGTGATCCCAGGTGGTTGTGTGTGACAGTCAGTGATCCCAGGTGGTTGTGTGTGACAGTCAGTGTTCCCAGGTGGTTGTGTGTGAAAGTCAGTGATCCCAGGTGGTTGTGTGTGACAGTCAGTGATCCCAGGTGGTTGTGTGTGACAGTCAGTGATCCCAGGTGGTTGTGTGTGACAGTCAGTGTTCCCAGGTGGTTGTGTGTGACAGTCAGTGTTCCCAGGTGGTTGTGTGTGACAGTCAGTGATCCCAGGTGGTTGTGTGTGACAGTCAGTGATCCCAGGTGGTTGTGTGTGACAGTCAGTGTTCCCAGGTGGTTGTGTGTGACAGTCAGTGATCCCAGGTGGTTGTGTGTGACAGTCAGTGATCCCAGGTGGTTGTGTGTGACAGTCAGTGATCCCAGGTGGTTGTGTGACAGTCAGTGATCCCAGGTGGTTGTGTGTGACAGTCAGTGTTCCCAGGTGGTTGTGTGTGAGTCAGTGTTCCCAGGTGGTTGTGTGTGACAGTCAGTGATCCCAGGTGGTTGTGTGTGACAGTCAGTGTTCCCAGGTGGTTGTGTGTGACAGTCAGTGATCCCAGGTGGTTGTGTGTGACAGTCAGTCCCAGTGATCCCAGGTGGTTGTGTGTGACAGTCAGTGATCCCAGGTGGTTGTGTGTGACAGTCAGTGATCCCAGGTGGTTGTGTGTGACAGTCAGTGATTCCCAGGTGGTTGTGTGTGACAGTCAGTGATCCCAGGTGGTTGTGTGTGACAGTCAGTGTTCCCAGGTGGTTGTGTGTGACAGTCAGTGATGTTCCCAGGTGGTTGTGTGTGACAGTCAGTGATCCCAGGTGGTTGTGTGTGACAGTCAGTGATCCCAGGTGGTTGTGTGTGACAGTCAGTGTTCCCAGGTGGTTGTGTGCTGACAGTCAAGTGATCCCAGGTGGTTGTGTGTGACAGTCAGTGATCCCAGGTGGTTGTGTGTGACAGTCAGTGTTCCCAGGTGGTTGTGTGTGACAGTCCCAGTGTTCCCAGTGGTTGTGTGTGACAGTCAAGTGTTCCCAGGTTGTTGTGTGACAGTCAGTGATCCCAGGTGGTTGTGTGTGACAGTCAGTGATCCAGGGTGGTTGTGTGTGTGACAGTCAGTGATCCCAGGTGGTTGTGTGTGACAGTCAGTGATCCCAGGTGGTTGTGTGTGCTGACAGTCAAGTGATCCCAGGTGGTTGTGTGTGACAGTCAGTGTTCCCAGGTGGTTGTGTGTGAAAGTCAGTGATCCCAGGTGGTTGTGTGTGACAGTCAGTGATCCCAGGTGGTTGTGTGTGACAGTCAGTGATCCCAGGTGGTTGTGTGTGACAGTCAGTGATCCCAGGTGGTTGTGTGTGACAGTCAGTGTTCCCAGGTGGTTGTGTGTGAAAGTCAGTGATCCCAGGTGGTGTGTGACAGTCAGTGATCCCAGGTGGTTGTGTGTGACAGTCAGTGATCCCAGGTGGTTGTGTGTGACAGTCAGTGTTCCCAGGTGGTTGTGTGTGACAGTCAAGTGATCCCAGGTGGTTGTGTGTGTGACAGTCAGTGATCCCAGGTGGTTGTGTGTGACAGTCAGTGATCCCAGGTGGTTGTGTGTGACAGTCAGTGTTCCCAGGTGGTTGTGTGTGACAGTCCAGTGATCCCAGGTGGTTGTGTGTGACAGTCCAGTGATCCCAGGTGGTTGTGTGTGACAGTCCAGTGATCCCAGGTGGTTGTGTGTGACAGTCAGTGTTCCCAGGTGGTTGTGTGTGACAGTCAGTGATCCCAGGTGGTTGTGTGTGACAGTCAGTGATCCCAGGTGGTTGTGTGTGACAGTGGTTGTGTGTGACAGTCAGTGATCCCAGGTGGTTGTGTGACAGTCAGTGATCCCGGTGGTTGTGTGTGACAGTCAGTGATCCCAGGTGGTTGTGTGTGAAAGTCAGTGATCCCAGGTGGTTGTGTGTGACAGTCAGTGATCCCAGGTTGTTGTGTGAAAGTCAGTGATCCCAGGTGGTTGTGTGTGACAGTCTGACAGTGATCCAGGTGGTTTGTGTGTGAAAGTCAAGTGATCCCGGGTGGTTGTGTGTGAAAGTCAGTGATCCCAGGTGGTTGTGTGTGAAAGTCAGTGATCCCAGGTGGTTGTGTGACAGTCAGTGATCCCAGGTGGTTGTGTGTGACAGTCAGTGATCCCAGGTGGTTGTGTGTGACAGTCAGTGTTCCCAGGTGGTTGTGTGTGACAGTCAGTGATCCCAGGTGGTTGTGTGTGACAGTCAGTGATCCCAGGTGGTTGTGTGTGACAGTCAGTGATCCCAGGTGGTTGTGTGTGAAAGTCAGTGATCCCAGGTGGTTGTGTGTGACAGGCAGTGATCCCAGGTGGTTGTGTGTGACAGTCAGTGATCCCAGGTGGTTGTGTGTGACAGTCAGTGTTCCCAGGTGGTTGTGTGTGAAAGTCAGTGATCCCAGGTGGTTGTGTGTGAGTCTTAGATTATTACTTTGTATGATCAGTCATTCTAATTGTTACTTCATAAAATGTTCACCTACCCAGCACGGAACTTCTTGACTGCAGACTTCCCAGTACTTGTGAAGTTCCAGGTCAAAAGAGGATTTCTTCTTACTCTTTATTTTGGGTTTGGTTCCTGGAGTAAGAGACAGATTAAACCACTGCATCAGAACAGAACATAGTTTAAAAAAACTCCAGAAAGGAAACAAAGATCTGACACAAAGTCTTACAGATAACAACAAACACACATCCTTAAAAAAAGGAAATAATAAAACCATGAATGCTTATTATTCATTGGATTGTCTATAATATTTTTACCTTGACTTCCCTCATTGTCATTAAACATGCGTATTCTCTTTGGCTTGTTGCTCTTCTTGGAGACCTTAGCTGCATACATCTGAGACTTGGTGATCTCAAAACCTACACGGTCTTCCGGCTGAAGGAACACAACAGAAGGTCTTTAGGACGTTCATTTCACCTGACATTAGGTCAGCATCAGACTAGTCCAGCCTTGCTGTAATATACACTCCATACACAACCTCAACAACATGTTAACATCTGCCAGCACCATGTGCAGTCTACACCAAACAAGGTCACACTGTCAGACACACAAGACTATCTGCTTGATGAAGTGAATTTTATAACTCAAAAGTATTTATGCTATAGCAGTGTTTCCCTGAAATTTGGGGTAAATTAAACTGATTTGTGCACACAGCTTGACATAATGTCTTAGAGCAGTGGGTGACCAATGTCAGTTTGCAACTGTCAGTTTCCACAGCCACCCAGCCACTTGTGTTCTAAATGCAGGTGCTAGTACAATTTCAGTATTATGTGGCCTCTAGGAAAGATATGATGACCATACAGCTTCATACAGTTATTTAGCCGTAGACACCATACTTCAGGGACTTAGACAGATAACATACTCAGGACTCACACTGCATACTCTTCAGGGACTTACACTGCAGCAGTTAGCTGTAGACACCATACTTCAGGGACTTACACTGCAGCAGTTAGCTGTAGACACCATACTTCAGGGACTTACACTGCAGCAGTTAGCTGTAGACACCATACTTCAGGGACTTACACTGCAGCAGTTAGCTGTAGACACCATACTTCAGGGACTTACACTGCAGCAGTTAGCTGTAGACACCATACTTCAGGGACTTACACTGCAGCAGCTGTAGCTGTAGACTTACACTGCAGTTACTTCCATACTAGGGACTTACACTGCAGCAGTTAGCTGTAGACACCATACTTCAGGGACTTACACTGCAGCAGTTAGCTGTAGACACCATACTTCAGGGACTTACACTTACACTGCAGCAGTTAGCTGTAGACACCATACTTCAGGGACTTACACTGCAGCAGTTAGCTGTAGACACCATACTTCAGGGACTTACACTGCAGCAGTTAGCTGTAGACACCATACTTCAGGGACTTACACTGCAGCAGTTAGCTGTAGACACCATACTTCAGGGACTTACACTGCAGCAGTTAGCTGTAGACACCATACTTCAGGGACTTACACTGCAGCAGTTAGCTGTAGACACCATACTTCAGGGACTTACACTGCAGCAGTTAGCTGTAGACACCATACTTCAGGGACTTACACTGCAGCAGTTAGCTGTAGACACCATACTTCAGGGACTTACACTGCAGCAGTTAGCTGTAGACACCATACTTCAGGGACTTACACTCCCAGCAGCTAGCTGTAGACACCATACTTCAGGACTTACACTGCAGCAGTTAGCTGTAGACACCATACTTCAGGGACTTACACTGCAGCAGTTAGCTGTAGACACCATACTTCAGGGACTTCACACTGCAGTTAGCTGTAGACACCATACTAGGGGACTTACACTGCAGCAGTTAGCTGTAGACACCATACCAGGGACTTACACTGCAGCAGTTAGCTGTAGACACCATACTTCAGGGACTTACACTGCAGCAGTTAGCTGTAGACACCATACTTCAGGACTTTACACTGCAGCAGTTAGCTGTAGACACCATACTTCAGGGACTTACACTGCAGCAGTTAGCTGTAGACACCATACTTCAGGGACTTACACTGCAGCAGTTAGCTGTAGACACCATACTCTCAGGACTTGACACTGCAAAGCAGTTAGCTGTAGACACCCCATACTTCAGGGACTTTACACTGCAGCAGTTAGCTGTAGACACCATACTTCAGGGACTTACACTGCAGCAGTTAGCTGTAGACACCATACTTCAGGGATCTCTACACTGCAGCAGCTAGCTGTGGCAGACACCATACTTCAGGGACTTACACTGCAGTAGTTAGCTGTAGACACCATACTCTGTGGGACTTACACTGCAGCAGTTAGCTGTGTAGACACCTATATCCTTCAGGGGACTTCACACTGCAGCAGCTAGCTGCAGACACACCATACTTGGAGGGACTTACACTGCAGCAGCTAGCTGTAGAGACACCATACTTCAGGGATCTCTACACTGCAGCAGTTAGCTGTAGACACCATAATTGGTGGGACTTTACACTTACACTGCAGCAGTTAGCTGTAGACACCATACTCAGGGACTTACACTGCAGCAGTTAGCTGTGGACACCATACCTCAGGGACTTACATTGCAGCAGTTAGCAGCAATTAGCTGTAGACACCATACTTCAGGGACTTTACACTGCAGCAGTTAGCTGTAGACACCATACTCAGGGATCCTACACTTAAGCAGCTAGCTGCAGGACACCCATAATTTGTGGGACTCTTACACTGCAGCAGCTAGCTGTAGACAATTCATACTTCAGGGACTTCTATACTCGCAGCAGCTTAGCTTGCAGGACACCATACTATTTCAGGGACTTAACTCTGCAGCAGCAATGTGTAGACACCATACTTCAGGGACTTACACTGCAGCAGCTAGCTGTGGACACTATACTCAGGGACTTACACTGCAGCAGTAGGCTGTAGACACCATACTCAGGACTTACACTGCAGCAGTTAGCTGTAGACACCATACTTCAGGGACTTACACTGCAGCAGTTAGCTGTAGACACCATACTTCAGGGACTTACACTGCAGCAGTTAGCTGTAGACACCATACTTCAGGGACTTTACACCTGCAGCAGTTAGCTGTAGACACCATACTCAGGGACTTACACTGCAGAAGCTAGCTGTAGACACCATACTTCAGGGACTTACACTGCAGCAGTTAAAGGCTGTAGACACCCATACTCTGTGGACTCTACACTGCAGCAGCTAGCTGTAGACACCATACTTCAGGGATTCCTACACTGCAGCAGTTAGCTGTAGACACCATACTTCAGGACTTACACTGCAGCAGCTAGCTGTAGAGACACCATACTTCGGGACTTACACTGCAGCAGTTAGCTGTAGACACCATACTTGTGGGGATTTACACTGCAGCAGTTAGCTGTAGACACCATACTTCAGGACTTACACTGCAGCAGTTAGCTGTAGACACCATACTCTCAGGGATCTCTACACTGCAGCAGTTAGCTGTAGACACCATACTTCAGGGACTTACACTGCAGCAGTTAGCTGTAGACACCATACTTCAGGGACTTCACACTGCAGCAGTTAGCTGTAGACACCATACTCAGGACTTACACTGCAAAGCAGTTAGCTGTAGACACCATACTTCAGGGACTTACACTGCAGCAGTTAGCTGTAGACACCATACTTCAGGGACTTTACACTGCAGCAGTTAGCTGTAGACACCATACTTCAGGGACTTACACACTGCAGCAGTTAGCTGTAGACACCATACTCTCAGGGACTTACACTTACACTGCAGCAGTTAGCTGTAGACACCATACTTCAGGGACTTACACTGCAGCAGTTAGCTGTGGACACCATACTTCAGGGACTTACACTGCAGCAGTTAGCAGCAGTTAGCTGTAGACACCATACTAGGACTTACACTGCAGCAGTTAGCTGTAGGACACCATACTTCAGGGACTTCACACTGCAGCAGCTAGCTGTAGACACCATACTCAGGGACTTACACTGCAGCAGCGGAAGCTGTAGACACCATACCTCTCAGGGACTTACACTGCAGCAGCTAGCTGTAGACACCATACTTCAGGGACTTACACTGCAGCAGTTAGCTGTAGACACCATACTTCAGGGACTTACACTGCAGCAGTTAGCTGTAGACACCATACTTCAGGGACTTACACTGCAGCAGTTAGCTGTAGACACCATACTTCAGGGACTTACACTGCAGCAGCTAGCTGTAAACACCATACTTCAGGGACTTACACTGCAGCAGCTAGCTGTAGACACCATACTTCAGGGACTTACACTGCAGCAGTTAGCTGTAGACACCATACTTCAGGGACTTACACTGCAGCAGTTAGTGATAAAACATTAACTTACTGTAAGTTTCTTTGCAGTTGATTTCTTTCCCTTCTTTTGTTTCGAGAAATCTCCCAGTCTAAGTGATTCTGAAACATGAGGTTGAGAACTAACTGAACTGCTTCATGTATAATTGCATTGTCTTTTTAACCCTTCCAAGATACAGGCTTTATTACCTAATCTCAATTAACTCTGATTTTGTACTCAGGAGCTCCTCGGCTATCTCACCCACCCTGAGCTCCATCATCTCACCCCACCCCCTGAGCTCCATCATCTCACCCACCCTGAGCTTCCATCATCTCACCACCCCTGAGCTCCATCATCTCACCACCACCCCTGAGCTCCATCATCTCACCCACCCTGAGCTCCATCATCTCACCCACCCCTGAGCTCCATCATCTCACCCACCCCTGAGCTCCATCATCTCACACACACCCTTGAGCCTTCATCATCTCACCCGCCCTCCTGAGCTCCATCATCTCACCCACCCCCTGAGCTCCATCATCTCACCTACCCCTGAGCTCCACTCATCTCACCTCACCCCTGAGCTCCATCATCTCACCACCCCCTGAGCTCCATCATCTCACACCCCACCCCTGAGCTCCATCATTCACCTCACCCTGGAGCTCCATCATCTCACCCACCCCTGAGCTCCATCATCTCACCTGCACCCCTGAGCTCCATCATCTCACTCACCCCTTGACCTTCTTCATCATCTCCACACACACCCTGAGCTCCATCATCTCTCACCACCCCTGAGCTCCATCATCTCACACACCCTTGAGCTCCATCATCTCACACACCTCTTGAGCTCCATCATCTCCACTCACCCTTGAGCTGCATCATCTCACACACCCTTGAGCTCCATCATCTCACCACCCCCTGAGCTCCATCATCTCACCCACCCCAGCTCCTATCATCTCCACCCACCCCTGAGCTCCATCATCTCCTCACCCTGAGCTTCATCATCTCACCCACCCTGAGCTCCATCATCTCACCACCCGAAGCTTCATCATCTCACCCACCCCTGAGCTCCATCATCTCACCCACCCCTGAGCTCCATCATCTCACACACCCTTGAGCTCCATCATCTCACCCACCCCCTGAGCTCCATCATCTCACCCACCCCCTGAGCTCCATCGTCTCACACCCCCTGAGCTCCATCATCTCACCCACCCTGAGCTCCATCATCTCACTCACCCTGGAGCTCCATCATCTCACCACCCCTGAGCTCCATCATCTCACCTCACCCCCTGAGCTCCATCGTCGCTCACACACCCCTGAGCTCCATCATCTCTCACCACCCCCTGAGCTCCATCATCTCTCTCACCCTGAGCTCCATCATCTCACCCACCCCTGAGCTCCATCATCTCACCCACCCCTGAGCTCCATCATCTCACCCCCACCCCTGAGCTCCACCATCTCACTCCACCCTTGAGCTCCATCATCTCACTCACCCTTGAGCTCCATCATCTCACCCACCCCTGAGCTCCATCATCTCACCCACCCCTGAGCTCCATCTATCCTCCCCCTGAGCTCCATCATCTCACCCACCCTGAGCTCCATCATCTCACCACCCTGAGCTCCATCATCTCACCCACCCCTGAGCTCCATCATCTCACCTCCACCCTGAGCTCCATCATCTCACCCCACCCCTGAGCTCCATCATCTCACTCCACCCCTTGAGCTCCATCATCTCACCACCCCCTGAGCTCCATCATCTCACCCACCCCTGAGCTCCATCATCTCACCACCCCTCTGAGCTCCATCATCTCACCCCACCCCTGGAGCTCCATCATCTCACCATCCCTGAGCTCCATCACATCTCACCTCACCCCTGAGCTCCATCATCTCACCCACCCCTGAGCTCCATCATCTCACACACCCTTGAGCTTCCATCATCTCACCCACCCTTCAGCTCCATCATCTCACCCACCCTTGAGCTCATCATCTCACCCCCTGAGCTCCATCATCTCACCCACCCCTGAGCTCCATCATCTCACCCACCCCTGAGCTCCATCATCTCACACACCACTGAGCTCCATCATCTCACCTACCCCCCTGAGCTCCATCATCTCACTCCACCCCCCTTGAGCTCCATCATCTCACCACCACCCCTGAGCTCTACTTCATCTCTCACCACCCCTGGAGCTCCATCATCTCACACCACCCCTGAGCTCCATCATCTCACCCCACCCCTGAGCTCCATCATCCTCACCCACCCTTGAGCTCCATCATCTCACCCACCCTTCAGCTCCATCATCTCACCCACCACCCTGAGCTCCATCATCTCACTCACCCTTGAGCTCCATCATCTCACCCCACCCCTGAGCTCCATCATCTCACTCACCACCCCTGAGCTCCATCTCACCCATCCTTGAACTCCATCATCTTACCCACCCCTGAGCTCCATCATCTCACCCACCCCTGCGCTTTATCATCTCACTCCTTGAGCTCCCTGATCTCACCCCCTTGAGATCCATCATCTCACCCACCCTTGAGCTCCCTCATCTCACCCAACCTTGAGCTCCACCATCTCACCCAACTTTGAGATTCATCATCTCACCTACTTTTGAGCTCCATCATGTTACCAACCCTTCAGCTCCAACATCTCACCCACCCCTGAGCTCCATCATCTCACACACCCTTGAGCTTCATCATCTCACCCACCCTTCAGCTCCATCGAGGTCTATCATTTCACCACCCTTGAGCTTATCATCCTGTCTATTCAGGAGCCCCTTCTTTCCCTATGTACTAAACCCATCACTGCTCCCACCTTTCTCTGCCATTCTTTCCCCATGGGACTGGAACCAGGTCCTCTTCCCTCGACTCCGGGCATCCTGATCTGCCTCCAGCAGGTTCTTGGCTTTGTTGATCTTGTTCTCTGTTGCTTTCATCTCCTTCTCTTCAATCTCCTCACGCTTGATCTCCTTGACGTCCTCTTCTAACACATCGATCTTGTCTCGGAACCTACTGATCACCTCTGTAAACATGCACATAGAAACAGAATAATCACAGATTCCAAAACACAAGATACCCATCTCTATAAGTCAATAAACATCCAGGCTAAAACAATTTCACTTTCACAATCTCATAAGCATGGCTCTGATTGGTTAAATAAAAGGTTTCTTCTTTCATGACTGTAATGGGATGTCCTCAGATCTTAGTGTAGCAGAAGCAAGCACCAAGATCTCATATCAATTAGATTGCATGATTGAAAAACATGCATGAGTGAGTGAGTATGATTTTATGTCGCTTTTTGCGATATTCTAGCAATGTTACGATGGGATCACCAGAAATGGGCTTCGCACATTGTACCCATTTATTGAATCTCTGTGACTAGCCAACTCTTTGACCACTAGGCTTCCCAATCGCCCCAAATTAAGCAATACGTGCCCTACCCATAGGCACCACTCGACTCTTCAGGGGCGTTTTGGCCTTCTTCACAATATCTTTCAGCATTTTCCTCTCTTTTTCTCCCACAAGTGTGACAGATCTACAAAGAAGCAATTTCACTTAAAACCCAATGATGTCCAATAGAGTTTTAAAGATGTAATCATTTCAACATACAAAACATTCACCAAACTGAATTTCAGATCAACATCAGAATTTAACATCAGGATAAACAGAATAATACTTTAGATAAGTTGTTTCTTTATGACTAAATATTCTTCCAACAACTGCCGTATATTAATCAGACCAATCAAATTTGGAAAGTTTTCAGGAAAGTATTGTTTTCAGTTCTGAAACTACACGAGGAGAAACTTCATACCGTCCACTCTTCCCAGCCCTGGCCGTTCTCCCGACGCGATGAACATAATGCTTGACGGTGTTTGGCATTGTGAAGTTTATCACCTTTAAACAAACCAAATCAAACTTCTCACAAAACAAAGATATATATTACAGAAAGCATACAGACATTGGACCCCTAAAACTTTGCTATACATATATCCTAGTGGTATGTTGACATCACCATGGTGCATAGTGCCAGGCCTCACCTACTTGTGGACTGTGGTCAGTGAAATTAAACATGCATCAGTGGTTATACCCCAATATATTCTGAGTGCTAAGATCCATCAAGCACTTGACATTAAGGGGTAATTGGTGTAATTTCACCCCTGCAACATTGTACCCATATGCAATATTTGTCAACTATTGCACCAATTTCTGATAGTATTGAACCACAATAATACAATGCACAATGATATCCATTGTTCCAAATTCATTACGAGTAATTAAAGTAATTACCTAATGTCACCATACAGTACATTGTAAACACTATTTCATTACGTTAGAGGACAATTGAAATGTATTTTTCAGCAGCCTAAACCTTCTCAAGCTCAATCTGCTCTGTAGATGTCAGATTTTCTCAGAAGACAAGTTAATTTGGAAAGGTTAAGGACAAGGGACAGAACTCTAGATATGAAAGAAATATTGAACATGGTATTAGTGTTAATATGTTTTTGAAAACATGAATAACATTGTAGCATGTCAGCATACAAAAACAAGAGTCACTTTAAAAACAATTCCAGTTGATATAAATTTGCCTACCTGTGACTGAACAAATAAAAAAGTAAACATTTTATCAAATTTCTTTACAGCCTGTAAACTGTATCTCTACTGACCGTCTTGACCCCATCAATGTCCAGTCCTCTAGAGGCCAGGTCAGTGGCCAGCATCACGTCTATGTCCCCATCCTTGAACCTTTTCAAGGTCTCCAATCTCTGTGGTAAACAAACAACAACATCAATATTGGGTCACTGAAAACAGAAACAACATGGGATGATTTACAAGCAACAACAATAACAACACTGAATACTTCAAGGCTAGCTTCACTGGGTCGGTTGATTTTGTCTAGCAAAATCTGTGATTTAAATAGTCCAAATGCCAGTCTGTGTTATGTTTTGCGAATCAAACTGTACCAGTCATGTGACTCAGGACATGCTCATCTTACAAACTAGCCTCCATTCTCAGATAACAGATCCCCATAGCTGTTTCACAGTCTTAATAATTATTCAGTTGTTCCCATTGCTATATGGTGTAAACTTTGCTGGTGCTATGCAATATTATTACTCTCATAACGTATGACTAAATTAGGAGAATAAGCAAGATGGCATCTCAGAAAAGCTGAGGGAACACTGCCTGTGGAGTCAATGCTCATAGTTGTAGTTGTTCATGTTGACCCTGTGACAAGAAGTGTGTAATGATTACCTGGGCCTGTGAGAGATTGCCGTGTAGTTCCCCGACATTCACACCGAGGAGCCCCAGAATGATGTGCATCCGATGTGCCTGGATCTTGGTCTGTATGAACACCATACACTTGTCACAGAAGGTGCGGGTCACCAGCGCTGTCAACACATACATCAGCAGGACTTACACAAAGGACAGGGTTCTCACACCAAGCCTTTCACAAACTGATAAGGAGAGGTGGGCGACTTTTCATTGACCTATGGAAAGTTGTGTCCCATGATTGTCACCATATAATACAAAGCTGAAATAATTTTGTTCTTCAATGGTGATCAGCAATATTTCAGCATTGCTAAAAACCTGTTAGTCATCAAATCTGGACCAGTCAAAACAACTATCTATGCTGTCACGATACTTTGAAATGCAATGAGTAAAGTGATAGACTATCCCATTCAATCTTGGCAAATCATACACTTTTATGGCTGCCTTTAGCACTTTTTCCTATTTCAGGGGTTCAAAAATCCCATCGCCCGACGCCCGGGACAAGTCAGTTTTCAATTCGGGCAATCAAATAATGGTATCTTACTTGTCCGTGGGCTACTAGATAATTTCCACTTATGGTTTCAAACCGCAAATAAACTTGGATTTAATTTCATATCTGCTCAAAATGTAGCTATTACATTTCGCAATGATAATAAAGTAGAGTTATCTTTCTTTGCTATTTATCACTTTTCAATAAGTAGTCCAGTAAACATTAACATCAAATACCATGTTGATTTCTTCTTTCATAATAACATCATCATAATTATGTCATAAAATCAGGGCAAGTGGAAAATTAGTCAGGACAAGTTACTTTCTTAAAGTCACTTGCCCTGTGGCAAGTGGCTTTTAAAATTTTTTGAACCCCTGCTATTTTCAGAACAAAGCAGCATTTTGTGCTCACATGTTGTAATTATTTAGTAAACTTGAAGACAACTGGTTTGTGAACTAGAGCGTAGGAAACCTTCAACTCTCTTCGTTAATATGCTCCCTGGCAAACCCTGTGGAGACTGGTGCACAATCATCATTGGATTATCAGAATACTAGTAGTTTGAGGGATTTGTTGCACTCAGTAGATGTTAATAGTAACGTGGAATAGCACATTGCATTGATTTCAAATCAATACAGTTACCCTACCTGAAACAATGGCCTCTCTGTCACCCTCTCGGTTGGGACGTATCCTGATGAACTCCTGCCGCAGACTGAGAGCGACATCAGTATTCTCATTCATGAAGACTTTCACTGGGTTCTTCAAGGACACTGCTGCCAAGTCCTTCACCTGTAGCAGATACACATTATCACTGACACACCTAGTCTCGGTAGAGCTACAAAGAGAGAGATACAGTTTGTATGTTGTTTGATGCTACACTCAGCAATATTCCAGCTATATGGTTGGTTGGTAGTTGTTTGATGCTACACTCAGCAATATTCCAGCTATATGGTTGGTTGGTAGTTGTTTGATGCTACACTCAGCAATATTCCAGCTATATGGTTGGTTGGTAGTTGTTTGATGCTACACTCAGCAATATTCCAGCTATATGGTTGGTTGGTAGTTGTTTGATGCTACACTCAGCAATATTCCAGCTATATGGTTGGTTGGTAGTTGTTTGATGCTACACTCAGCAATATTCCAGCTATATGGTTGGTTGGTAGTTGTTTGATGCTACACTCAGCAATATTCCAGCTATATGGTTGGTTGGTAGTTGTTTGATGCTACACTCAGCAATATTCCAGCTATATGGTTGGTTGGTAGTTGTTTGATGCTACACTCAGCAATATTCCAGCTATATGGTTGGTTGGTAGTTGCTTAATGCTGCACTCAGCAGTAAATGATTGGTCTGTAAATGATCGAGTCCAGAAAATCCAGTGATCAGCATGAACATCAATCTACGCAGTTGGGATACGATGTCATGCGTTAACCAAGTCAGCCAGCCAATTAGTCGCCCCTTACAACAAGCATGGGTTGCTGTAGGCCAATCCTAACCCAGATCTTCACAGGTTCCAGCTATATGGCGGTTGTCCGTAAATAATCAATTCTGTACCAGACGATCCAGTGATTAACAGCATGAACATCAATCTACACAACTGGGATACGATGACATGTGGTTGTTTAACGCCACACTCTGCAATATTTCAGCTATATGGCAGTCGTATAATCGAATCTGGACCAGACAATCCGGTGATAAACATCATTAGCATTGATCTATACAATTGGGATACAATGACATGTCAACCAAGTCAGCAAACCTGACCACCTGATCCCGTTAGTTGCCTCTTACTACAAGCATGGGTTGCTGAAGACCAATTCTAACCCAGACACAGGTGAGTATACAAGAGACTAAACAAGAAGACAAAGTCATCAATATGCCCCGCAACGGCAAAATACTCTTTAAGAATATGTCTACTAGTTATGATTATGTCAAATGTTTTGGAGTGTATACAGCAAAGTGGAAGGAGAGTATTGAAATGTTTTTAAGATCTGCACCAAATTCAGTTGAAGCCTAACTTTTTGCCATGGAAATGCAACAAGATGACATCCTCCCATCCACAGCCTAAGTCTCGTTTCCATGGAAACCACAAAAAATATAATTCATATCTGGGTCTAAACACCAAAAGGCACATCTAGGGATCATGCTTGACATATGTACCAAGTTTGATGACGCTAGCATGTATAGTTTGGGAGATCTGCTCCGGACAAGAACACAACCCGCATAGCCACAGCCTAAGTTATGTTTCCATGGAAACAGCAAAAATTAAAATTCATATCTGTGTCTAACCCCCAAAAAGGCACATCTAGGGATCATGCTAGACATATGTACCAAGTTTGATGAAGCTAGCATGTATAGTTTGGAAGATCTGCTCCCGGACAAGATGACATAGTCATAGTCACAGTCTAAGTCATGTTTCCATGGAAACCGCCAAAAATAAAATTCGCTTCTGGGTCTAACCCCGAAAAGGCACATCTAGGGATCCTGCATGATATGTGTACCAAGTTTGGTTAAGCTATCATGAATAGTTTAGGAGATATGCTTCAGACAAAGTGAGACAGACAGACGTTTCTATATCCCCCCAACTTTGTTGCGATAACAAGCAAGTCAGTAGACATGATATCCATGGAAACAGTACTGCAGCAGCTAGGCCATGTATCCCTCACCTCCTCTGACATGGTGGCGGAAAACAGCATGGTCTGCCTCTGTAGACTGCACAGACGAATAATCTCCTTCATCTGCTCTGCAAAGTACTCATCCAACATCCTGCAAACAAAACACAGCTGGGATTCAGACACAGTGTTAGGCATTCACTGGTTCGACTTTGTCCTCGATAAAGGTAAGCTATGGTCCACAGGTCTCATTGCGGAGATGACAATGCATGGGTATTCCAAACCGTTTGTCCGATACACATTAATATTGCCTTCTTAAAAATAGTTTATATTTTAAATGTACATCTTGTAATGAACGTACAATACAAATCAACGAGCACAAGAAGACAAAGTCATCAATATCCCCCGCAATGGCAAAATACCCTTCATGATTATGTCTACGAGTTATGATTATGTCAGATATTAAGGTGTGTATATAGAAAGGTGGAAGGAAAGTATTGAAAGGTTTTTAAAGTTCTGAGCCAGAAAGGAGCACTATCACCAATTTCAGTCTAAGTCAAACTTGTTGCCATGGAAATGCTACAAATATTTTATTCAGAATTCCAAAACTACCAAAAGGCACCAGTACACCACCAGATCTATCTATGTGCCAAGTTTGGTGAAGAAACATTGAACGGTTTTAGAGTTCTGCTGCAGAAAAGAGCACTACCACCAATTTCAGTTTTTGTCAAACTTGTTGCCATGGAAACGCCAAAAATATTTTATTCAGAATTCCAAAACCACCACAAGGCACCAGTACACCACCAGATCTATCTATGTGCCAAGTTTAGTGAAGCAGCATTGAACGGTTTTAGAGTTCTGCTCCGGAAAAGAGCACTACCACCAATTTCAGTCATAGTCGAACTTGTTGCCATGGAAACGCCAAAAATATTTTATTCAGAATTCCAAAACTACCAAAAGGCACCAGTGCACCACCAGATCCATGTATGTGCCAAGTTGGTGAAGAAATATTCAACGGTTTTAGAGTTCTGCTCCGGAAAAGACAAATGTGCACGGACGGACGGAGTCCATTTTAATACCCCCCGCAAAACGTGTTGCGGGGGATAATAAGAAGGATACACAAGTATTGAACTAAATGGTAACACTAGGCAAAAAACAGTAAATAAAATAAACAGTCTAAGTTCTTCAAATGTGCAAATTAAGAGTTAAGTCCCCTTCATATAACCCCTACATTTGCAATATGTATTGCAAAATAGCTCTTGCCAACAGTGGCTCCTGTCTAATCTGGCACACTGTCAAAACCGGCATAAAATTTTGGTCCCACCATTTTACAACTAAATTATGATCTTTAAAACATTGTCTAATCCGGCACCTGTCTATTCCGTAATCCGGCACGACTTTCCGGTCCCTACAAGCAATTTTAGCGGTAATTAACACTGTCTTAACCGACATGAGCATGAGCAGTCCAATTAAGGTCCCTTAATCCAATACACTCATCTCAGCACACTATATTATAGAGATAAAGAGATTGACGAGTGTAAATGGCAGTCATGTTGGAAAATGATCATCACTGTCTAATCCGGCACCCTGTCTAAACCAACATTTTATTTCGGTCCCGAGGGGTGCCTGTTTAGACAGGTTCACTGTATATAAATAACTCTGCTCATCCTATTCCATGTTGCTTGCCTGGGTGCAGTTGTACAAAAGAAACTTTGCGCTAAGACTACCTAAGTCTGTGTTAAGGTATGGGAGTTACGGCCACCTTAGCTCTAAGATCGCTTTGTACAATGGCACCCTGGGGTTTAGTTGTTTATTGTTGCTTCCATGGTAATGTCTGATAATGAAGAATACACTGTTACCTAAACAGATTATAAGAATATTCTTGGTGTGCCTACCTATCTGCTTCATCCAACACAAGGATCTCGATATTACTGAGGCTGAAGTTGGGGGCATTGTGGAGATGGTCAATCAGTCGTCCAGGAGTAGCCACAACGATGTCTGGACCCATCCTTAGTGCAGCTTCCTGGCTCTTCACATCCAACCCACCTGCACACAGACATACATGAGTAACTTTGGCCTCTTCCTGTCATTTAATTGAAGGCTACATCAAACTGAGAGAACACTACTAAGCCAGTTCACTGCAGACTAGTGGTTGATAGTGTGAGATATTGGTTACAAGAACACTATGAACATCCCAGATCAACCAGGTCACTGCAGACTAGTGGTTGATAGTGTGAGCATGTTGGTTACAAGAACACTATGGACAAGCCTGATCAGCCAGCCCACTGCAGACTAGCGGTTGATAGTGTGAGCATATTGGTTACAAAAACACTAAGGACAAGCCTGATCAGCCAGCCCACTGCAAACTAGTGGTTGATAGTGTGAGCATGTTGGTTACAAGAACACTATGGACAAGCCTGATCAGCCAGCCCACTGCAAACTAGTGGTTGATAGTGTGAGCATGTTGGTTTCAAGAACACTATGGACAAGCCTGATCACTGCAGACTAGTGGTTGATAGTGTTAGCATGTTGGTTACAAGAACACTATGGACAAGCCTGATCAGCCAGCCCACTGCAAACTAGTGGTTGATAGTGTGAGCATGTTGGTTACAAGAACACTATGGACAAGCCAGATCAGCCGGATCACTGCACACTCAAGTACTGTCGGAATTATTAAAAAAAACTGTTTTTTGGCTGTTACTCTGTATCCCTAAAACTTACACAGTTGCAAATAGCATATGTTGAAATAATCCACATCGGCCTAACTGGAATGGCGTTCAGTGGGATGCGTAATAGGATATCCAGAAAAGCATCTTTACTCATAAAATCGGGCAAAACTTAGATAAAATATGAATAGCTGCTTAAAACAATAGATCAGACTATAAATGACAATTAGGTCGTTCGGCCAGGTATGATGACGGACCGTCGACACTGAGCATGGAACGCATACCGTCGACACCGGGCATGGAACGCATGTGCTGCCTACAGGCACAAGAGGTCATCTCAAAGATATTCTATGATTTTTCTTGAGTGTCTCAAACATTGATTCACATCTAATGTGTCTTTTTTCATAAAGTTTATGTTGAGATATGTAAAACAGTATGATGCCCATAGAAAGGCTTAAATCAGCCATCGTATTAAATGTCTCAAAATATATAGGTAGTATGGCCACCCGAAGATCGACAGGACTGGATATTATTTGTAAATTGTTACTTCCCCAGTTTAATTCCCCTAAAGGATTGTCTTATCTTAGCTGATATCTCTATCCCCCAGCCCGACCCCAACCATTGTCTGCGACACCCGACCTTGTTTTGCTTTTGAGACGACCCCCCATATCTGTTTGTTTATATAGTGGTAGTGAGACTACATGGTAGCTACATCCATAAGAGTTTCACAAGTAAAAATATTATTTTGTACATCACCTATCGTTTCTAATGAACCTAGTCTAATTTCAAAATGGGCATTTAAAAAAGTGTCCTTTGTAATACAATGTCATCGCACACTAATTTGCATAAAGCCAAGGTCTGTTCCAAATAAGTCGACCTGGACTTAGAAAAAAAACACATTGCTCATTTCTGCAACTAACCTCTCCTCAGTAAAGTCCCTTTTTCACGTTTCCTATATCCCTACCACCGAGACTGTAGTTAGGCTGAACTTAGTTTAACAGATATTTCACACATAAATTGTGGATCTAAATGTGAAAAAACAGTTGTTGTTTTTCTATTTCCAACAGTACTTTAGTGGTTGATAGTGTGAGCATGTTGGTTACTAGAACACTATGGATGTCCCAGATCAGCCAAATCACTGCAGACTAGAGGTTGACAGAGTGAGCATGTTGGTTACAAGAACACTATCCACAAGCCAGATCACAGCAGACTAGAGGTTGACAGAGTGAGCATGTTGGTTACAAGAACACTATCCACAAGCCAGATCACAGCAGACTAGAGGTTGACAGAGTGAGCATGTTGGTTACAAGAACACTATCCACAAGCCAGATCACAGCAGACTAGAGGTTGACAGAGTGAGCATGTTGGTTACAAGAACACTATCCACAAGCCAGATCACAGCAGACTAGAGGTTGACAGAGTGAGCATGTTGGTTACAAGAACACTATCCACAAGCCAGATCACAGCAGACTAGACAGAGTTTGACAGAGTGAGCATGTTGGTTACAAGAACACTATCCACAAGCCAGATCACAGCAGACTAGAGGTTGACAGAGTGAGCATGTTGGTTACAAGAACACTATCCACAAGCCAGATCACAGCAGACTAGAGGTTGACAGAGTGAGCACACAAGAACACTATCCACAAGCCAGATCACAGCAGACTAGGAGGTTGACAGAGTGAGCATGTTGGTTACAAGAACCACTATCCAGATCACAGCAGACTAGAGGTTGACACAGCAGAGCAGACTAGAGGTTGACAGAGTGAGCATGTTGGTTACAAGAACACTATCCACAAGCCAGATCACAGCAGACTAGAGGTTGACAGAGTGAGCATGTTGGTTATATCCACAAGCCAGATCACAGCCTAGAGGTTGACAGAGTGAGCATGTTGGTTAGAACACTATCCACAAGCCAGATCACAGCAGACTAGAGGTTGACAGAGTGAGCATGTTGGTTACAAGAACACTATCCACAAGCCAGATCACAGCAGACTAGAGGTTGACAGAGTGAGCATGTTGGTTACAAGAACACTATCCACAAGCCTAGATCACAGCAGACTAGAGGTTGACAGAGTGAGCATGTTGGTTACAAGAACACTATCCACAAGCCAGACAAGCCATCACAGCAGACTAGAGGTTGACAGAGTGAGCATGTTGGTTACAAGAACACTATCCACAAGCCAGATCACAGCAGACTAGAGGTTGACAGAGTGAGCATGTTGGTTACAAGAACACTATCCACAAGCCAGATCACAGCAGACTAGAGGTTGACAGAGTGAGCATGTTGGTTACAAGAACACTATCCACAAGCCAGATCACAGCAGACTAGAGGTTGACAGAGTGAGCATGTTGGTTACAAAAACACCATTGACATCCCAGAACAGCTCAGGTACAGGTGGCTGAACAGTCCAAGGCGCCACAATATGCAGTGGACAGCTTGGTCAGTGGACAGCTGGGTCAGTGGACAGCTGTGTCATAGCACAGGTGTATCAGCACCTACAGAGCTGAACATCTCAGACCAACACCAAGGGGCTTGTGCCCACAAACGTCACAACCACAACCCCAACCTAAACTGCTCCACTCCACACACCCCCACCCCTTCATATAACTAGAACATAACTCACCCAGATCAGCCAGCTCACGTCAGACTGGTGGTTGGTAGTAAGGGCATGATCAAGCTGATGGTCACTCATCAAAACAATTTACAGTTCACAAGCTGTTATTGGTTGTGAGTTATTGAGTATTCATGCTTCTATAGATCCAGAACAACTCACAGTAAACACTTATAGACAATCAAGTATATGTACATGACAGCATAGTGGTGTACCTACCAGCAGAGAGACACAGGTCGATGTTTGTGAACTGGGCCAGCTGTCTCCCCACAGTATGAACCTGTACCGCCAACTCACGTGTGGGTACTAGGATCAACACACGGGTCACTGATGTTTGCTTCGGACGGTACAGAAGTCTCTCCAGGATCGGTAACATAAATGCTGCCGTCTTACCTGTTTAAAAGGAAAGTGTCTGTGTAATGTAAGGATAATCGGCATTGACCAGGGTATCAGATATTACTAAAACAAAAGTATCAGGAAAAATAGAATAAAAACAGAAGATTATTTCACTTGTTTAACAAAGTAAAAGTTCTAAAACGTATTCCTTACAGTAAAAATATTATTCTATACTTATCCAGACTCATACTATTCGCTGCTCTCTTCCTTAACAAATAGTATGGGTCAGGATAAGGAAACATATACTTCTATTACATTTATGGGCAGGGAATAGGTTCTCAATCATACTACCAACAGCACAAACCTCAAAAGAAACACCTGTTATTTAACAGTGTTTACATTATTAAGAACCTTATAACTAAATGAGCCTTGACATACTGACCTGACCCTGTTACAGCACAGGCACAGATGTCTTTACCCAGCAGAGCCACAGGGATAGTGGATGACTGAATTGGGGTGGGACGCACAAAGTTCATTGTGCTAAGAGCCTGAAGAATAAGATTGACATAGTAACAAATATTGTTCCATCATCCACTTAAAAACTGTCCATGACACATGTTCAGAGCTATATTCCAAACTTAAGTTCTCAACAAAGATTACTATGAGTAGGATTGTAGGCAATGTGAACAGCAGTAAAAGATATTCCAACAGGAACAAAACCCCAAATGATCACTTGCTGACAAAACAATGATTGTCAGGCCAAACCCATCACCAGCAGATCCTGGTTACAGTTGAAACTTTGTGCTGTGAACAGCAGCACCTTGCACTTCAGTGCATCCACAATAGTAGAGATCAATTCTACCCATGAAGATCCGGGTTAGAATTGGTCTACAGCAACCATGTTTGTCGTAAGAGGCGACTGACGGGATCAGGTGGTCAGGCTCGCTGACTTGGTTGACATGTCATTGTATCCCAATTGTATAGATCGATGCTAATGATGTTGATCACCGGATTGTCTGGTCCAGATTCGATTATACCACTGCCATATAGCTGAAATATTGCCGAGTGTGGCGTTAAACAACAAACCAACCAACCAAGAGATCAAATCTACCCAATCTTACAGAAGATTACATAGTTTCTTCTACACAGTTGCATACGCTAACTACATGTTCATACATGTCTGATGTGTTCACATGAGCAGGATACCTATTGGGGCCCCTCTACAAGGATAGCCCCAGTTGACCGAGCTACTCACCTTCAGTAAGGGTCTGGATATATGCATGTCTTGAAAAAGAATTGTATCATCAAAGGAATCAATCGATTCAGAAAACTCAATTTTCTCACTCTCCTGCAAAACAAACCAATCTGAAATAAGTACACAGTGAAAAAGGAAAAAACAGTACACAGTGACACCCAGCTATGTTTGATATATCACAATGCAGGGTTCACAGCTTTACTTCACTGAATGTCTAAGTCTAAGACATCCAATATTTAATCCTATAAGTGAATTGCAAGGAAAGTTGCTTGGGGGGTGAGGGGAGGTAACTCTGATTACAGGTACTTAGGACTTGCTTCATATACAATGTATATTTCAATACTGGAAATTAACTGTACCATATTTACTCATGTGATAACTTCTCTATATATTTTTATATAAATAAGTGTTTGAAAACATATGAGTAATATTTCCACTTACAACTTCCTCTTCAGCAACATTTTTCTGCTTTTTCTTCTTCTTTTTCTCTTTTGTTCTAATCATGTCTGAAAACAAATTTTAAGCAATGTACTTGTGTTCCAGACATATGACCATATTTACTGTCAACTACAGACTGTTTCAGTGTTCATAAAATGCACAGCTGTTTGCAGTATTCCAATCCATAAATACTGAACTAGGTAAGCAATTTTAATCAATGATTTTAGGTCAAAGAAATTCCTTCAAACCAACGATTTACCACTTTGTTTAATGTTGCACTCCCAGTATGATGGCAATCTGTAAATAATAAGGTCTAGACCAGGCAAACAAGTGACTGACACGAGAATTGATGTACATTACAGTGTAACAATGACAGGCATGAACCATGTTAGACAGCAGTGCTTCCCAATCCATTTTGTTTCCATTCATACAGTAATTTGTATAATGCAGCAACCAACATTTGTTGTCTGCACTGAAATAATACACCAGCTCAGGTGGTTAGAAAACCATTTCAAAAGCTGATCCAGTACTTTGGAATTACCTTCCAGACAACCCCTGAACATTCAGGAACTATCGGACTTAAGGCTGGCTTGAAAATGCACTTCTTCAGAAAGTCATTCAGCTTAACACCTTCAGAGCTGTTTTATAAGTTATCACATCGTGTCGAGGGAAATATGGGGTTTTATCAGTCCCGAGTAAGGTTGTATTCCCCGAGCTGGAGTATTCCCCGAGCCAGAGGCGAGGGGAATACAACCTTACGAGGGACTAATAAAACCCCGTATTTCCCTCGACACGATGTGATAACGCATTTATCAAGCCAAATCTTTTTTACTAAATCAAAAGAAAACAATACGCATCGAATCGACTTGTTTTTATTTATGTGAGATGCCATGTTGACAACAGCTGATCGATTGACCTCAATGCAGCGCACGTTACTAAAGGCTTGGCGATGCACGCTTTTCTCATTTCGCGTGGTCACCGAGGCGTGGCGGGATAATATGACTTTTGTACTCCCTGCTCGCGGATCGTGACAGGTGTACATGGTATTTTATCAGAGTCACGTGAACCAATCAAAACTTGACATTCTTACATGAGGCTGGATAATACTCTTTGGTCCCATTGAACAGACTTTCAAGGACTGGAAACAGTCCCAATATAAATGACTACCGGTAATTATATATAATTCTAAACCTTATTTCATTAAAGGGACCTCTTTAGTTGCCATTTAAGATTACCAGTGGGTGCTGGAGTCACATTCTACACAGGGTCTCCACTGAATTAATGACAAGAAACTAGTGACATGCAATGTTGGACAAACAGAAAATGGTTTCAACATGTTTAATAATTCCAAATTCATATATTACCATCATCACCATTGGTACTAAGTGTAAAGAAAAGTGTCCAAGACAAGTAACTACAAAGATACCAAATACATACAGTACACCACTACGGAGTCCAACTCACCAGGTTTGAGATCTTCATCCTCATCTGAGGAACTCTCCATATCTTCTTCCACTTCATCATCACTACCAGCCTTGTTGTTAACATTACCATTCTCATCAGCATCCTGAAACATAACAGTACATGTTCCATGGCCTATTCAACATTTTCATGTGACCTCGAGGACTTCAAAGAAAAGGTTGGACATTACACAAGAAGTATGCTGTTACAAACATTTAAAACACCTTTCTTTTGTTGAATCTGTGGGTCAGTCAAACCGTAATCATATTTCACTGAAACCCATCTACATCCCACTTGAAGATATGCTGTATGACATGGTAAACTGTTACATTTTTAACTTCAAACATCAAGGGAGCCAGGGAGGGAGGGAGCTGTTAAACACAGTTTTGATAAAGTATTTCAGTTAACAACATTGATACAAATCTTGGACATTTATCATTATGGGGAAACCCATGAACAAAAGTATCTCAGGAAAAGATTTAAATTTGAACACTCAGTCATATCAATTATCAGTGGTACATCTCAGGGACACATCAAAACTCTATTTGAGATGCTTCAGATGACTGGACAAGTGCCCAGGGATAAGAACAAGAGAGAATAGGAACATCACAGTCTAAAGTTTATTGTCACTGGATTCCTTCGATGAGCTGAAATCAATGTGAAGAGAGAAACCAAGTCACTACATTAGCGATGAATGTTATATGTACCGCTTTCCTCCTCTTTTTTCTAGCTTCAGCTATTTTGTCATCAAGGGACGAAGCAGATTTTCTCTTCTTGGCCATTTTGAGCACAACATCTGGATCAAATGTGTCTGCAATGTCATACTGTGAACATAAATATGAAGGCAATGTAACAAAGCGATGATTGCTGGCAAAAAAACTAACTTTAATGTTTATCAGTACCATATAAAAACTCATTTTGTGTAACTGAGGTTTGGTACTTTGTTTTACCACATATACATGAATGAATGAATGAATGTTGGTTTATGACACAACAGCCATTAGACAATCCGGTGACCATTAAGCATGAGCATTGGTCTACTCCATGTGGGTCACTGTGATGTGCGATTAGCTACTTATCTCAGCATTCAACTTTGTGTCAAAGTTTTCTTTACGTATTCAGCTGCCTTTGCATATGAATTATGATCAGTATTGATAGTCAATGAAAAAAGTTCACAAATTCATGATAACCTCAAATTGTTCAATAAGTTATATTAAAATTGTTTCAAACATTGCCATGTAACAAATATTAACAAAATAGTGACCAAACATATGAACAAATACAGTGACTAACAAAATAGTGACCAAACATCACAGGACATTGGGTCCTGTAAGTTTCAGATGTCTGTCTGACCCTTTGAAAATGCACAGGACCCATGGAATAAAATTAAACACACATTTCAGATTTAATATTTCTTATAACTGGCATTGAAATTATTAACAAACATAAGATTTATAAACAGAAAACAAGTGTCACATGTCACATAAAACAACTTCAGTCAAAGTCATTGTGAAATATACAGTCAGACACTGGGGCCGGCGGGTTGTATACTTCTGTCTGACCTTTGGTTGCCGGATTTGTCAGAGGGTCAATGCTATTCGTGAACACTGTTACTCGTAATGCAAGGCTAGTACTTACTTGATCTGTGAATGAGAAGAAGCTGTTGAACTCATTGTTTCCTATTTTTTTCTTCTTCTGCTGCTGCTTCACCGATGTACCCTGTCAGGAAGGTAAGATGTACTGCTTTTGTATGCATTGAATTGTTAAACAGGTTAATTATGCAAATGATATGAACAACAAAGAGCACAGACTTTGTTATTTTGTCACAACAACAGCAAGGCTAAATAAGGATCAATGTTTATATACAGAAAACACTGGCCTGACGTTAGAAAATGTTGGACTAATCTCAAACAGGGTAAACATGAAAACAGTGTGCCATTATTATATGGGACCATTATCAACTTGTATCAATTGTACATGGGCTGTCATTTTTGTTGTGGCCCTTTTGACTAGGGTTTTGCTACTATACTGACTTTTTAGACCCCATCTTCACATTTGTTTGACTCTTTAGGCCGTTTCGACATAAAGCCCTTTTAACCACAAACTAATTCTTATCTATGAATATTTTTTTACAATCCCGTGTCTTAATAAGTCATGCACAAATTAATTTCATGTGATGTCACACCTTTTAATTCATGTAATGCATGTTATATTTGGTACTACACTTTCTCAGTAAAATACAGATTCTAGTACTTTTGTTGGGTTGAGTCCCATCCGGGATTCGAACCTACATTCTCAGAGACAGGCACCTAACCTGCTAACCGAGGCGTATATGTATATTGAAATTTAAGCTTTAGCACTGCAACATATGTTGTATTTGGGATAACACTTTCTCAATATAGCAGTGATAAGTACTGACTTCAAATAGGATAATAGGGACTCTAGCATTATGTGGAACCGTGGTGTACTCATCCGCAATATTCAGACACGTGCTTCTGTTTTGATTTGTGCTGCCTACAGTTTGAAAAGGAAAATGTGACATCTGGTATGTAGGTAGATCCCGTTTTAAATAAGCGGATGGTGGTGTTTCAATTCCTCTTTACCTCATCTTCACTAGCTGAAGATTCTTGAGCCACATCGATCTCTTCATCTTCTTCTATCGTCCCAATAAATCCCAACGTGTGTAAGTCGGCCATTTTCGATTATTTGAGTAAAGCTAATTCTACGTATATTTTCGAATTTCCGTAAAAGCCGCGTTCGTATACTAGCCTGTGGTGCTGACTCAGCTTCACTGTTATTACAAACACGAGCACTTATTTTGGAACGAAAAAATATGTTTAAAATTTGTTTTAGGTTAAAATTAACTATTCAATGGGAAACAATAAACGTCCGCTTTACTCAAGTAGTTGTGGCGCCAGTTTGCATGTTTAGCACTAAGTATTTACGAACTTTAGTCATATCCAAATCAAGGACTCAGTTTTGCACAACAGCACTAGCTATGGGTATTCAAGGCCTGTCAAAACTTCTCGGCGACTGTGCTCCAAGTTCATTGAAGGACAATGACATAAAGAATTACTTTGGTGAGTCAGATACTAGCCTTTAATTGATATCAAACTCAAATCACTAAGCAATTGATTTGTAAACAAACCAGTTCCCGATATTTCGTGTTTTACTACTCAAGGCGATTTTTTCGCAGATAAAGTATGGCGAGTACATCTGTTAAAATTCCCAAGGCCCCGCCTAGTCACGTTAAAAGAGATTTCTTTGGCCAGCATACGTGTAGCGGCCATGCAATTTTCGAGTGCCATGATGGGATTCGAACCATGGACATTCTGATCTGACTCAGACTAGAGGTTGTAATCATGACCAAGAGGTTAACCTCGTCAGTAAACTGACATGAAAGAGATATCATCTGTTGGATGACCCCACACCCTGCTACAAACACAGCAATGTAACTAGATAAGCAACATATGTTTCTGGTTAACATGGTTAACAACAATGGTTAACATAACAGACTTTATTCAAACATAACCATGATAACTAGTCTGTCGCACCTGAAGCATATTATTTTTGTTTCCACCCAACCCTTACAGAAATGTAAAAGCAGTTACTTAAACATGTCTTGAATTTCTAAGGTTTGAATTTACTACCTCTCAACATGCTCAAATGGGATTTGTATGGATTTTTTACATATTTCAGAGACAGAGCTTAGTTTTAAACATAGCCCCTAAAATAAAGTGAAATGGTTTTGAACCAATTTAACTGAATTTCTAAGATGCCTAGGGGTTAGAACAATCGACAAAAAAGATACATTATCAGACAATACAGGTATAGTTTTTTGATGACGTAACAATTGAATGACGTTATCCCGTACGGCCTCCTACAGTAAACTTCTCCGTTGCATCCCGTTTCTTGGTTTGCAGTTGCTTCACCCAGCTAACATCACTGGTGGAAACATTACGTTTATGTTTTTCGACGGTTAAAATGTGTCAATTCGACTCAGAAGTTTTCAGCGACACGGTAACGTTCGCAATGTTTACATTCCCACAATGCAATCGTGGAATGTCGCTTGACTACTCAGCTTCTTCTGGATGTACTGATCTAAACTTACATTGGTAGTAGAAATGCGACGTTCATATTGCCCCATATGGTTTACGTTAATGACAGATGTAATTAAAATAATTCAGAGGAGATATTTAATCCGAACGTAAACTGTCATCAAACTGTTATCATTTGTTTTTTCTGGTAACGTTCGTCTTAACGTAGGGGGGCAGACACATCAATAAAACAGCGCACCAGTTAGCCCTGTGCGAGGATTCTTAATTTAGGCCACCGACACCATCGTTTGTTTTCTGCCTTAAATTAATCGTAATTATCCCCCACAACGCGTTTTGCGGGAGCTATTAAAATGGACTCCGTGCGTGCATCAGTCCATCCGTGCACGTTGTCTTTTCCGGAGCAGAACTCTAAAACCGTTCAATATTTCTTCACCAAACTTGGCACATAGATAGATCTGGTGGTGTACTGGTGCCTTTTGGTAGTTTGGAATTCTGAATAAAATATTTTTGGCGTTTCCGTGGCAACAAGTTTGACTTAGCCTGAAATTGGTGGTAGTGCTCTTTTCCGGAGCAGAACTCTAAAACCGTTCAATGTTTCTTCACCAAACTTGGCACATGCATAGATCTGGTGGTGTACTGGTGCCTTTTGGTAGTTTTGGATTTCTGAATAAAATATTTTTGGCATTTCCATGGCAACAAGTTTGACTAAAACTGAAATTGGTGATAGTGCTCCTTTCTGGAGCAGAACTTTCAAAACCTTTCAATACTCTCCTTCCACTTTTCTATATACACACCTAAATATTTGACATAGTCATAACTCGTAGACATAATCATGAAGAGTATTTTGCCATTGCAGGGGATATTGATGACTTTGTCTTCTTGTTATCCTTAGAAAGTATTAAATTTGGCATCTTAGGAAAGAAATACAGTTCGCTCTACCACCATGTATAGTGTAATAAAACACACTTTCGCCCTGAACTATTATAGTTAAAGTACGAGGACGCTATAGTTCAGGGCGAAAGTGTGTTTTATTACACTATACATGGTGGTAGAGTGAACTGTATTTCTTAAATATTCAGAAGAAAGATTGACAGCTGTGAAGTAAATCATGCATCACACTCGTGAATTTCTCAGCAGCCAATCAAATCATTGAAAGTGTACATGTAATAGCTGTGCACATGCATACAACATGGTCATTCTTTTGGGACTATACAATTTCCCATTCCTTCTACAACATGAACTTTATCATCCCCCGTCGCGCGTTTAGCGCAAAGCAGAGGATATAGTATTAGGTTCCGTCCGTCCGTACGCAATTGGAATATCTTAAGAACCGTTGACTGGATTCTTTTCATATTTGGTACCTAGGTTCATCACAGTAAAAGAAAGGTCCCAGTCAGGTTTGGTGACCTTGACCTTCATTTCAAGGTCACAAATGACTGACGTTTTACCCTTGTCAGCGAGATATCTCAAGAACCATTCACTGGATTTCGTCATATTCAACACCAAGCTTTATCTAGGGAAGGCGCAGGGCCCAGTCGACTTTGGTGACCTTCACATAATTTTCAAGGTCATGGCGACACTCTGAAGATTTCAGCATGTTAAGCTGCATGTTAACCTTGTCAGCGAGATATCTCGAGAACCGTTCACTGGATTTTCTACATATTTCACATCAAGCTTCATCGAGGGAAGGTGCAAGTTCCAGTCGATTTTGATGACCTTCACATAATTTTCAAGGTCATGGCGACACTTTGAAGATTTCAGCATCTTAAACTGCATGTTAAGATTGTCAGCGAGATATCTCAAGAACAGTTCACTGGATTTTCTTCATAGACTTTCAAGGCTTCCCTTGAATGTTTTCAAATAAGCAGTTTCTTTATTACTATTTTTTCATATTTCATACACGAAGACATTCATGTCAAGGTCAAAGTGAGTCTTGAAAATATTTGTGCGTTTGAACAACTACAGAACAAGATATCAAGAGAGGTTGACTGGTCATGTTTTTGTTTACATTTAACTTCATCTTAAATTACGACCTTCACTTTCATTACTCTTTAAGTTTAACTTGATAATTTGCGGCGGGGATTATGTCACCTTAGTGACAATGCTTGTTAATATTTATTATAAGTATATGTGTAAGGTGTTGTTTTTCCTTGACCTTCAGTGACTATGTATGCAAATATGGTGCAGTTTTCACCTGGTGAAATCAGTGGTGTTTTGCTGACATGACATTTAGACCAGCAACCTGCCGGTCCATTTGAATTGCTGTGATACACAGGAGAATCCTCTCAGAAGTGAACAGATCAGACGAAATTGCCAACTAATATATAGATAGTTCCTTATGAAGATGATAATAGATCAACATCTGTTCTTTTAATTGTCATCAGAATTTGTTAATGTTAACAAAATCTGACTTTATGTTGAAAGTAACAACCTTTTATCTTTTATTCAAGGTCGAAAAGTTGCAATTGACGCCTCTATGAGTATATACCAGTTCCTGATTGCAGTCAGGTCTGATGGATCACAGCTGATGAATGAAGAAGGGGAGACAACCAGGTAAGTTTGCATTTAATATTCATGATGCTTTTATTTTTCAAACAGAAATCAGGTCTGTTTAAAAGCTTAACACAGCTATTAATTGGTAGAATAAAACATTACCTCTAGAACAATGTGGAGAGTCATGTTTTTTAATTCTTTCGTAGCTATTAGAGGATTAGAATCAGTATATAGTGACAGAATTGGTCAGTGATGGAATTATTATTGTTAAAAGGAATAAAATGGATCAGGTGGTCCTACATATGATGGCTATGAGACTATCTCGTCATACCCAGATGGACTGGATTGTTGCTCAAAATATCAGTCATTGATTTGTGAACGGTTTTTTGAGTTAAGACTCTCGAAACAAAATTCCATCCTTGGGTGTGGGTTGGGTTGGAGGGAGTGATAAATGAATTGTTTTAGTCACGATATGGCTAAAATATTGCTGGTGTGACTATAATCTTAACTCACTCACCCACCATTTGAATAATGTCCTGGATAGCTAAACAATTGGATAGTTTGCCATGTATCTTACTGTCTACAACGCGCGCACCTGTTTCGCTAAAATACACTAAATACATTGTACCCTGAAGTAGCTGGGATGTTGCTGACAACAGCATTTAGTGACAATCTAATGTTGGAAGCAGTGCTGATATCTTGACAGTGTTGCTCTTTACTCTCTGATAATCAGACATAATTGATGATTGATTGGCTGTTTGCATTTTACAGTAATTGTCAAAAGATCTGATTTAATGCACCATGCCAAGCTCAGTCTTCACTGTTTTTTCTTCAGTCACTTGATGGGGATGTTCTACAGGACTATCAGAATGGTTGAGAATGGAATCAAGCCTGTGTATGTGTTTGATGGGAAGCCCCCAGAGATGAAGTCAGGAGAAGTGAGTTTGACTTGTGTTGTGATGGTAGGGGAGGTAACTGTATTAGTGTTGGGAATTGGTTTAATTCTCATAATTGATGATTGGTTCATTACAACCGATCAATCATCGAAAATAATTGGTTAGCGTCATTTATTAAATTTTCCTGGTTATGTTTGTTAATGCACACAAAAAATAAAGAAAAAACATGTATTTCTTTCGGGTTTTTTGCAAATTGCACAAAATGCATTTGCAAATTTCACATCTTTAAAGGATGACTAGTTTGTTAGGAACATAAATTTCATGGAGTCTTTAAAATAATTTCAATCATGAATTGGAAGAGCTTGTAATGCTAATGAAATGTAACAGACGAAACCAACCTTGTGAAAAATATTGTTATTGCAAACAAGTGTTCCAAAATTGTTTGTGTTCGATTATGAGAAAACATGATTGATTGCTTGGTCGTTTTGTCATTGCGACCAATTTTCGATTATTTCAATTAATTGGACCACCATTAAACTGTATATGGTCATGGCTGGCTGGCCTTGCAGAAGTGGGGTTTTTATGCCCCCACCATATGGCAGGGGGCATATAGGGTTACCCTCCATGTCCGTCCGTACGAAACAGGGAATGTACTCTATCCACTTCTCCACAAAAAACGCTCTGTGGAGTTCAATGAACTTATACATGGGCTTTCTTGGGACTCTAATGGTGTGCATCTCATATTTTGTTTTTGTATTTTATTGGGTTTTTTTCTAAGTTTAAAGACATTTGAACTTAGGTACATTTTGCTGAATTTCTCTATGATGATAGTGTAATAGGGGATGAAGTCTATCCACTTCTCCACAAAAACTGCTCAACAGAATTGAATGAACTTCTACATGTCTTTCAAAGGGACTCTAAAGGTGTGCATTTCATAATTTGTTATGCAATTTCGTAATTTTGTCACTTTTACAGATGTTTGAACTTAGTTGAATTTTGTTCTAAACTTTTATTCAGCCTGTTCGTTCCATCCAACAGTGGGGTGTACGTTATCCACTTCTCCTCAAAAACTACTTTATGGAATTCATTTAGATTACATTGTGTTTTGTAGGGACTCTAAAGGCGTGCATCTCATATTTTGATTTTGTATTTGATTTATTTTTCCAATTTTAATGCCGTTTCAACTTACATAAATTTTGTTGAATTTCTCTCTGAATATAGTGTAATAGGGGATGAAGTCTATCCACTTCTCCACAAAAGCTGCTCAACAGAATTGATTGAGCTTCTACGTGTGTTTCATTGGGACGCTAAAGGTGTGCATCTCATACCTTGTTCATCCAGTTTCTTAATTTTGTCACTTCTACAGATGTTTGAACTTAGTTGAATTTGGTTCTATTCATCCTGTTGTCCCATACAACAGGGGGTGTACTTTATCCACTTCTCCTCAAAAACCGCTGCACAAAACTCATTTAGCTTGCATATGTCTTTTATAGAGACTCTAAAGGTGTGCATCTCATATTTTGTTTTTGTATTTTATAGTTTTTTGTATGTTTAGAGACATTTGAACTTAGATAAATTTTGTTGAATTTATCTCTGATGATAGTGAAATAGGGGGATTAAGTCTATCCACTTTTCCATAAAAAAACTGCTCAACAGAATTGATTACGCTTATACATGTGTTTCATTGGGACTCGAAAGGTGTGCATCTCATAGTTGCATAGATGTTTATTGAACTTTTTCGTGAATTTTGTTCAATTATTGATCTTTATATGTCTTATGAATGTCAGCGGGGGCATCCGTGTCCCTGGACACAATTTTTTCTTGTTTAGACTTAAATCAGTAATGTTATCAGTACTAATGATTTCAAGGAAACACTTGTTTTTAACTTATAATTGGTAATTATTACAATAAGTCACTGTGTCAGAAAGGAATTTAGTCCCAAAACAATCGTGATTAATCTCAACCCGAAGAAATCTTTTTTATGACTTGAATTGTTGTTATTCTGATATGTTATCAGCTTGGTGAATAAACTGACAGCTGAATGAACATTGTGTTTTTCTGAAATATATCCTATGCTGTCCTAGCATTCACTCGCTTCCATAAACGACAGTCAAGATTCAAGGATCCAGTTTATCGTTTATTGGTAATCTTCATTTGTAGAAATGGACGATATAGGGTAAGACTGAAATGTACAAAACACAATAATAAGTACAAAGTTTCTAAAGTTCACACACACTCAAAAATTTTCCCTAATAGAGTAAATTTCCCAATAATATGCATAAGTCACAATATTTGCTGAATAAATGCATAAACAGCCAAAACCTGAATTTGTTACACTGTTACATACAGATGAGAATAATATAACTTCAGTAGATGCACACGAGGTAACTCTGCAGTGACCATATTAATAGGTTAACCAGTCCACGGGTATGGATATTTCATGAATGCTTCAAATACTGCATTTTGACAGCATAGCATTTCTAGCCCAAAGAAACTTACATCCTAAACTAACAAAAGCTGCAAAATATGTTTCCTAACTTCAATATACAATATAACATATCAAAATACTATACAAAAATACCAATAAAAAGCATTTAAAAACAGTTCAGTGTTTTCCCTGCCCGAAATTTAACGTCACATCCAAAATTTTAAATACAGCAAATTATTTACACACAAATTGCCTAAATAATGAAATTGAACACATATTACAATATGCAAATATGAAAATACATACACTTTGTGGATTTGTAGCCCAAAAAAGGGAGAGAGTCCTGGCCAAGCGGCTTTCCATATCGAAAGTTCGAAAACAAGAGGAACGAGAAAGGTGCTACCACAAAAAAGTACCCGTGACAAACGGTGCAAGTGAAAAAGTTCCCTGTGAAATACAGCACATATCCATTACATTTTATTGGTGTTAAAAAAATGAAAATAAAATCTAACATGTGCATGTTCAGAGATAATGTTCATAATTGTTTGGATTACTTGTCCTGAGCTAGTTGAGTCCCATGTTATACACTTTGCCTTCTAGTTCTAGTATGATTGGAAGATAGGTATCATGGAGAAAGAAAGAACTCACTTTTGTTGTTTCCATGGTTACAGTTGTCCAAGAGAGCCGAGAGAAGGGAGGAAGCACAGAAAGGGCTAGAGAAAGCTGAGGAAGCTGGTCAGTGCAATATCTCATACTTACTTCTGGCTCCATGCTTGTCTTTCATTGGGAATTCTGGGTCAGAATGGGTCTGGCAGGTCTCCCAGAAGGGATTTCAGGAATGGACAGTATAGGTCCCAAGTACTCCATGCTTACTACTTGTACATATATACATGGCATTCTCTCTACTTTCATTCACATTTCACATCACATCAAGTCTGCACCAGACAATCCAGTGATTGACATAATGATGTAAATCAAGATGCTTGTAGTTCACTGGTCACCAACTTGTGGTTCACTGGTCACCAACTTGTGGTTCACTGGTCACCAACTTGTGGTTCACTGGTCACCAACTTGTGGTTCACTGGTCACCAACTTGTGGTTCACTGGTCACCAACTTGTGGTTCACTGGTCACCAACTTGTGGTTCACTGGTCACCAACTTGTGGTTCACTGGTCACCAACTTGTGGTTCACTGGTCACCAACTTGTGGTTCACTGGTCACCAACTTGTGGTTCACTGGTCACCAACTTGTGGTTCACTGGTCACTTGTGGTTCACTGGTGGTTCACCACTTGTGGTTCACTGGTCACCAACTTGTGGTTCACTGGTCACCAACTTGTAGGTTCACTGGTCACCAACTTGTAGTTCACTGGTCACCAACTTGTGGTTCACTGGTCACCAACTTGTGGTTCACTGGTCACCAACTTGTGGTTCACTGGTCACCAACTTGTGGTTCACTGGTCACCAACTTGTGGTTCACTGGTCACCAACTTGTGGTTCACTGGTCACTGGTCAAACTTGTGGTTCACTGGTCACCAACTTGTGGTTCACTGGTCACCAACTTGTGGTTCACTGGTCACCAACTTGTAGTTCACTGGTCACCAACTTGTGGTTCACTGGTCACCAACTTGTGGTTCACTGGTCACCAACTTGTGGTTCACTGGTCACCAACTTGTGGTTCACTGGTCACCAACTTGTGGTTCACTGGTCACCAACTTGTGGTTCACTGGTCACCACTGGTCACCAACTTGTGGTTCACTGGTCACTGGTCAACTTGTGGTCACCAACTTCACTGGTCACCAACTTGTGGTTCACTGGTCACCAACTTGTGGTTCACTGGTCACCAACTTGTGGTTCACTGGTCACCAACTTGTGGTTCACTGGTCACCAACTTGTGGTTCACTGGTCACCAACTTGTAGTTCACTGGTCACCAACTTGTGGTTCACTGGTCACCAACTTGTGGGTACTGGTGGTTCACCAACTTGTGGTTCACTGGTCACCAACTTGTAGTTCACTGGTCACCAACTTGTAGTTCACTGGTCACCAACTTGTGGTTCACTGGTCACCAACTTGTAGTTCACTGGTCACCAACTTGTAGTTCACTGGTCACCAACTTGTGGTTCACAACTCAGGCCTCAGTGTCTAAAGATTTGACAGATTTGTTATTTGAAGGACAAGTTACCTTAATTTCAAGTTTGATTTTTACTAAACTTGCAGGTGATGAAGAAAACATTGATAAGTTCAACCGTCGCCTGGTGAAGGTCACTAAACAACACAATGAAGACTGTAAACAGCTCTTGAAGCTGATGGGCATTCCATATGTTGAGGTTGGTACATAGATAATCTAATTCTAATACCCATCTGCTGTATATACCCATCTCTAATCGTCTGCTGTATCTTCCCATCTCTACCCATCTGCTGTATATACCCATCTCTAATCGTCTGCTGTATCTTCCCATCTCTACCCATCTGCTGTATATACCCATCTCTAATCGTCTGCTGTATCTTCCCATCTCTACCCATCTGCTGTATCTTCCCATCTCTACCCATTTGCTGTATCTTCCCATCTCTACCCGTCTGCTGTATCTTCCCATCACTACCCATCTGCTGTGTCTTCCCATCTCTACCCATCTGCTGTATATACCCATCTCTATACCCGTCTGCTGTATCTTCCCATCTCTACCCGTCTGCTGTATATACCCATCCGCTGTATATACCCATCTCTACCCGTCTGCTGTATATACCCATCTCTACCCATCTGCTGTATATACCCATCTCTACCCATGCGTTGTATATACCCATCTCTACCCATGCGTTGTATATACCCATCTCTACCCGTCTGCTGTATCTTCCCATCGCTACCCGTCTCCTGTGTCTTCCCATCTCTACCCATCTGCTGTATCTTCCCATCTCTACCCATCTGCTGTATCTTACCATCTCTACCCATTTGCTGTATCTTCCCATCTCTACCCATCTGCTGTATCTTCCCATCTCTACCCATTTGCTGTATCTTCCCATCTCTACCCGTCTGCTGTATCTTCCCATCACTACCCATCTGCTGTGTCTTCCCATCTCTACCCATCTGCTGTATATACCCATCTCTATACCCGTCTGCTGTATCTTCCCATCTCTACCCGTCTGCTGTATATACCCATCCGCTGTATATACCCATCTCTACCCGTCTGCTGTATATACCCATCTCTACCCATCTGCTGTATATACCCATCTCTACCATCTGCGTTGTATATACCCATCTCTACCCATGCGTTGTATATACCCATCTCTACCCGTCTGCTGTATCTTCCCATCGCTACCCCCTGCTGTATATACCCATCTCTACCCATTTGTATTTTCCCATCTCTACCCATCTGCTGTATATATCCGTCTCTACCCAACTGCTTTATCTTCCCATCACTACCCGTCCGCTGTTATCTTCCCATCTCTACCCGTCTGCTGTATCTTCCCATCTCTACCCGTCTGCTGTATATACCCATCTCTACCCGTCTGCTGTATCTTCCCATCTCTACCCGTCTGCTGTATATACCCATCTCTACCCATCTGCGGTCTCTACCCATCTGCTGTCTCTTCCCATCTGCTGTATCTACCTATCTGCTGTATCTACCCATCTGCTGTGTATACCCATCTCTACCATCTGCTGTATCTTCCCATCTCTACCCGTCTCCTGTGTCTTCCCATCTCTACCCATCTGCTGTCTCTTCCCATCTGCTGTATCTACCCATCTGCTGTATATACCCATCTCTACCATCTGCTGTATCTTCCCATCTCTACCCATCTGCTTATGTACCCATCTCTACCCGTCTGCTGTATCTTCCCATCTCTACCCATCTGCTTATGTACCCATCTCTACCCGTCTCCTGTATCTTCCCATCTCTACCCATCTGCTTATGTACCCATCTCTACCTGTCTCCTGTATCTTCCCATCTCTACCCATCTGCTTATGTACCCATCTCTACCCGTCTGCTGTATATACCCATCTCTACCATCTGCTGTATCTTCCCATCTCTACCCATCTGCTTATGTACCCATCTCTACCCGTCTCCTGTATCTTCCCATCTCTACCCATCTGCTTATGTACCCATCTCTACCCATCTCCTGTATCTTCCCATCTCTACTCATCTGCTTATATACCCATCTCTACCATCTGCTGTATCTTCCCATCTCTACCCATCTGCTTATGTACCCATCTCTACCCGTCTCCTGTATCTTCCCATCTCTACCCGTCTCCTGTATCTTCCAGGCTCCATGTGAAGCAGAGGCTCAGTGTGCAGCTCTGGCCAGAGCAGGGAAAGTGTTCGCCGCAGGGACGGAGGATATGGATGCCTTGACGTTCGGATCTAAAGTGTTGCTCAGACATCTGACATTCAGTGAAGCAAGGTCAGTGCCTCTAATTTGACATGTCAAAATTACCAAAATATTGATGTACTTCTGTTCTGAAAGTTCTGAAAGCTGTTGTGGTGACCTTAATCTTTTCCTTTGCAAGCTGGGTGATAATGATACAGTGGAATTGAAGTAACTGTATGTAATATACAGAGATTTGGTTCAAGAAGTTTTAATGTTCCCTTGGTGGTACAGCCATGTGACTAGCATGGATGTAGCCATTACAGTCATGGTGTCACAAGTGACACTATTTGTGTACTACTGGTTTATATCTATAATGCTGATATAGACTTCTATTAGACATTTAATGTCATTACAGTGAATATTGGTTCCATAATATTTCAGGAAAATGCCAATCAAAGAAATTCATTTAGACAGAGTGTTAGAAGAACTGAGTCTGTCTCAAGATGAGGTGAGTGTTATTCTCTTGTGAAGGTGATAGTTAACCCCATGTTTCCTGGAATTAGTCCTAACCTTACCAGTCATGAGTTATTGACCGCCTCTGTTATGTAGTGGTTAGAACATCCGCCAGAAGGTTGCGGGTCTGATTCCCGGCCGCGTCATACCAAAAGACGTTAAAATATGGTACTTGATAGTCCCTCACTGGCGCTCTGTATTAATGGGTACAAAAAGGACTGGTCAGCTTGGAATCAGTATAATGTGTCTGGGTGGGATATCCATGCTTACCTGCGGAATGGTATTTCGGTGAGCTAGGGCTATAAAATCAGCTTGGTCTGGTACAAGCAGCCACACATACACATGCATGCACATTGTCATATGAGCGAAATAATCTTAAGTACGATATTAAACCCAATTTCACCTTACCACAGGAGTTATCATGTCTCTCCTCAAAAGTCTACTCTGTGAGCGGTGGTGTAGCCTAGTGGTTAAAGCCTCCGTTCGTCACACCAAAGACCCGGGTTTGATTCCCCACATGGATACAGTGTGTGAAGCCCATTTCTAGTGTCCCTCGCCACGATATTGCTGGAATATTGCTAAAAGCAGCATAAAACCATACTCACTATAACTGAAACTGACTTAAAACCCATCTTGCTTATTTCATTACACTGATCATGATGAATTTTTTCAAAACTTCATTCCATTACCAAATATCCTGAAGAAAATTTACGTTGGGGAGAACTTTTGGAATTTTTTTCCCCCTCATTTCTCCTACCAAAGAACATCCATTTAGCATGATTCATCTCAAAGTCTTTTCTCTTGTTATGGCACTCCTGTCTTTCCATGACAAGTATGGTAACCATGACAGTGGCATTCTATGTTTCAGTTTATTGACCTGTGTATTTTACTGGGATGTGATTACTGCGACTCTATCCGGGGTATTGGCCCAAAGCGAGCCATTGAGCTGATCAAGCAGCACAGATCAATAGAAACCATCCTGGACCATCTAGATAAGAAGGTAGATAAGAAGCTCTCTATTTACATGATGTGTGCTGGATATATGTCTCGCCCAGTGTGTGGTCTGAGCGTCAGTACTGAGTTATGTCCCTTCCCATAACAGGATCTACTGGACATAGGTTTCAAATCACAATATCCAGATTTACCCGACCCTGATTCTTAGTGTGTCAGCATCATACCTATCCTTGTTGGTTGTCATGCTTACTTAGAATAAAATAAATCCCAAATATGGTTGGAGTTGTAGCACGAAGATCAATACATTAATAATAATTTCTTGCAGCAGGTAATATTGCATTTCTGATAATTTCCCTCAGGAAACCGAGATTTGAAATAATATCTCAAGAACTTGTACACAAAGTTTTGAATGTTTTATATTTGTAGGCTTATAGTAAGTGTCATGCCTTTTTTGTTTCAGAAATATACCATCCCAGAAAATTGGATGTATAAGGTATGCCCTGTTCAAATAATCTTTCAGGACATAAAACACGATGAAGGTTGTTCTGAAAATATGTAAAATCTTCCCAGTGGTTGTATGAGTTACAAAATATAGGATCCAGTGAGCATTATGTCTGCAAAGTACTGATGTCGTTCTCAAATAGGTGTTCGGATTCCCTGGATAGGTGGATAGATTTGTTGCTAAAACAGTGTGATTTTAGAGAGTGTAAGAAACAGATTACTGCACACTTGCCTGTCAGATACCTTATGTCTTACAACTACTTGTTTCAAAACTCTGTTTCTTTTGTTAGATGCATTTGGAAACAACTTGTATAATATATGGCATGATATTTAGATGTACCAAGCAGACAATTAAGTAGTATTCTGTATGTATCTGTTTGTGCTGTTCCTGAAGACAACTGTTGTGTACATATAGCATTGAGAAGTTGTTGGTGGTGTGTTTCAGGAGGCACGAGTGTTGTTCCAGGAGCCAGATATTACAGATCCAGAAAAACTAGATGTAGGTTGTCAGTCTCACGCTTCTTTATCAGGGTCATGTCTGCACTTGTGATTTCAAACATATTGGTTTCTGAGAAGCTTTTTAATGTTTTTTTACAAGGTGTCTCATTAATTGGAGAGAGTTTGACTTTCTGGTTTAAATCCATCTCCTATGGTAACAAACTCACAAAGCTGGTAGTTGACAGCACAAATGATCTCTACCAAACAATGGTCTACATATGATAAGGAATTGCATGAAACATTGTAAAATCCTTTAAAAGCAATTAAAACATATTAACTGAAATAAGACATCCAGAAACAAATATACATCTAAAATAATCCATATATCTCTATATATCTATCAATAAAAAGCTAATTTACATAAAGTTGAATACCCTTGAACTGATCCTAAATTATGTAACATGGAAGCTAGAACAGTCATTTTACTGTGACACTGATCTGAAGAGTATCGTGGGTTCAGAGGCATCAGAATGTGTTCCTGTTTCAGCTGAAATGGTGTGAACCAGATGAGGAGGGTCTGCTGGAATTCATGGTGACACAGAAGGGTTTCAGGTAGGATAATCCTTCGCAGTGAACACCTGTACAGTGAAAGCATGATAGTCTGTACCCCGGTAGTCCATGTATCCATTCAAATGAGGAAAGTACTACATATTTATGACTGGACAATGTAGCTATGAATAGTATTGTACTGTCAAACTGGGATTTAACAAAGTCTCAGATCCATAAATATGATAAACATCCAACTGTTGGAGGCTATAACTTATGTACTGTAGTCAGATGTAAACTTGCAAAACTTCTTAAAATTTCCTAAATGCCTTGTTCAGTAATAGGAATTGAAAAGCGACTCTTAAGAATTTGTCTTCATCTTCAGCAACCCATGCTTGTGAGAGGCCATTATTGGGATTTGTTCTCTGGCTTGCTGATTTAGTTACTGCAAGTCATCTATACAAGTTGCATTTGATGTCAGTCACTGAATTGTCTGGGCTGACTCAAATATGTACAGACAGCAGATTTTCAGTTAAATGGTGTCTGTGTGTCACAATCACAAACAATGTTGGAGGGAACTCCAGACAATTTATGGCAGGATTGGGATCTCTATACATGTTTCCTGATGCAAGTAATTATCATAAGGCTATTTAAATAACACAACATTATTCAATTGAATATATGGAATCCACATCATATATAGTGGTCTTTTTGGGGATTTGGTTCTCAAATGTTTGAAATGTGTTGAGTTTCTGTACTAAATCATGTACTATGTGGAAGTTCGAGGCTTTGTTGCCCATTCAACTCACAGTGGTCACTGTGTCTTGTTCCTCCCTGTAAAAGCTTTGACTGTAACTTCTTCGTGTACTTGCAGCGAGGACAGGATGAAGAATGGCATCAAGAAGCTAGTGAAAGCAAAGCAAGGCACGACTCAAGGTCGTCTTGACTCATTCTTCAAAGTAATGTCGTCCTCCTCCACCACACCCAAGAGAAAGGTACCATGATGTGTCTAATCTCAATTAAATCATATGTTTTACCCCTCTACATGCAGAAACAGAATGTGAATGCCTGATTTACATGAATTATATGTGGTTTCCTGAGTGGAATAGATGACAACTTTGTGAAACAATAAGGCCTCATTCCTGTATCTCTTCACATCGGATGTTTAAGACTTAAAAGGAAAACCAAACGTTTGTGGCCTGTAAACTCTGCTAAACACTTCCTGAGAAATGTACCTGTAATGGTAATACAGAGAAAAAACTTCTGAATTTATTTTTGAGGTATACAATTTTGTAAGTCACCGGTGATTTATTTGAGGGAACACTGGTAAAAGCATTCAGAAGCTTAGCGTGTGATCCTTTGGGTGTCGATTGTGTATATTGCGTGTTTTGATGATGAAGTTCCACAAAGTTTTTCCGAATGCATGTCATAGTCCGTATGAAAGTGAAACAAAATGGCAGACCCGACCAAGAGTTCACCCCCAACTCGCACCTTTGGTGCTCAGGCCTGGCTTTCAGCCAGTCTTGACTCCGTTTTCCTTTGATTCAGGGTTGGCATCTCTGGTAATATGCAATGCAGGCATTTTGTTTTTGATTACCTTGAACCATCTCTAACCAATCTAGTATCGGTATGGTCATATTGATTGAAGAAGACACCATCTGTAGATCTAGACATGTTTTTAGGTGATGATCATCATCTAAATTACTTTTGTGTCATCTTACCTTTTTGGAAATGCGTGTTGTCTGAATCGGTTTACTCATGTAATTTGTGTCTTATACTTTCTCTGAAGCATTGTATTTGTAGACATCTGTCGGTACTGATGTTGTATTTCTTCCTGCAGGCTGCCGAGATGAAGGGGAGTGCCAAGAAGAAAGCTAAGGGAGGTGCATTCAAGAAGGGACGATAGAGGCCATGTTTTACCACCAAAATTGTTTTTGAGAAAGTATCAGTGCTGAATCAAATGGATGAATACAGAGAAGGTCTTCATGTGTATAAACTAAGGATTCTGTCAAAAGCCAACAGATGTGTTTGTTCTTCTGTGAACAAGATTGTATGATAGTGGACAAACTTGTGAATGTATTGTTTGGTGTTCAGTCATTGTTATTGGCTCATAGTCCATGTTGATGATCATTAGGTTTGTCTCGGAAAAAATTAGTTCAATGAAATGTCAGCAAATTCAAGACGTATCAATATTCTCATTTTGAGGCTGATGAGGATTATTTTGACATGTCAGTATCAGCCCCGATACGAATCCCTTCATATCAGTATTACTTGAGCACTGAAGGAAAGTTTACTGTGACTGTTTATTGGCTGTAGCTGTTAAAGTTGTTTTAGTATTCATTGACAAAATACACCATTGTGTTTGTTTTTCGTCTTTTAGTTACCTAATATGTGCCCGGCTCGAGATGTTCAAGTCTGTTTTGAGAAGTGTGACTTGTTGGAACACAATGGCATTGCTTTAATGTATATAGAATTCAATGTGTATAATAAACTATGAAAGAATTTGAATTTGTCTATAGCCATGTGGGATCATTTGAAATATTACCCTTTGCAACAAGAAACTATTGAGTCGTTTTGTTTTGTTTCACTTTCATTGGTTCTATGGGTTGTATGCATGCCTGAGCAACCTACAGTCAAGTAGATGTAGACAAAACTTGACAACACAAAACCTTGGCCTGTGGACAGAGGACATCAATGGTCATAGGTCTTTCTGTATTAAGGTCCCCTGCATGTATTCCAGGACAACGGATGCTATGCCCATATGTCTCAGAAACAGTGTCGCTGTACGTTGTCAAATATTGTGTGTCTTTATCGTGGCAACAAGACCAGACAATGCAAATCCAGGGCAGAAATGGCTGCTAAGTGGTTTGTAAATGACAGAAGTTGGCCAGTTTGGTGTCACGATTGGAATCTCAGTTGGCAAAAGCAGCCTTGTTGTGAAGAGACAAACTTGAATGGTAATTGGGAAATAAGGCTCTCTGCTTTTCAAAGTCACTTGAAATCGTTTTGAAGAGTTCAGAGCAAAAACATCCCCCACTTGGTGACAGTAAGTAATTATCATTCAGGGCTCCAGATAAGGGCCGTATCGGCGTATGTACGGATAAAATATATGCACTATCCGGTAGGAAATAATTTAGAAAACGTAGCAGATACGCACCACAGCAATGGTGTACGGTCTTAGAATCATTTACAGACTTAAGTGTTTTTGTTTTATTTACTTGTTTACACAAGAGTAGCAATGTTGTGGTGCATATATGAAATGAAACAGAAGCTTACTGATACTCCATTAAATTCCATTCTGTAATCGAAATGTACTCTAAGTTTTTCCAGTACTCCTATATTGAAAAAATAAGGAGTACGTACTCCTGATGTTGAAAAATTATCTGGAACCCTGATCATAATCGATGGCTCTCAAAAGTTGTCTGTGTGGTAAAGACAAGTATATATAGGCATATGGAGTCATGTCAGTTGTCATGTTTATGTTTGGCATCCATGAATGTTCTATACCATGCACCATAAACAGTGTGACAGATGTGGCGGAATTGAAACTGATTAGGACATAGCTGAGACCAGATGTGGCACCAGTTTCCGCTCTTGCCAGTTTGTACCATGGGTTGAGTCCCAAATTTAAACCACTTACTTACAAGCTAATAACAGGAACCCCATTGAGAGCGTGAACAAATAGTGCACGGCAGTTGTCAAGAGTCCTGGGGTTCACTTGTTACATGGGTATACTGACAGGTGAGTAACATTGTGTCCAATATTGTTATGGATGATAGACACGTGTAATGTGTTGAATGGACTGATGTGGCGGTCTATGTGGAACAATTAAGGTAAACTTGTCAATCAGTATGGAGCAAAAATCATTTCACCAATGTCAGAGATAACGGAGGATATTTGTTTCCGACTTTCAGAAAACATACATACGTTTATTCTGAAATTATATAATGTAACTTTCAATACCTAATTATGAACACATCTTGAATTAAAAGTGGTGATTCACAGTTTGCAGATGTTCAGTTTAGATGTTAGCGTGTTGCACAGTTTTAATGTGAACAACTCACAATTGTTTAGCTGTCTGCTCATAAAACACGTACGTGTAAAACCCCTCGCGCGATGCTGAAAATCGACGTCAATGAGCCTTAGGTAAGCTGCAAGCGCTCTTCGAAATACATCGTTTCTTTGAAGATCTTATCTATTGCAGTGCAACACACTTGAATCATTATGTGCCGAATTGTGACCAACGTCACGTCACCCCAGAGGGGTTGCACGCATACCAGACAATCCATTTTATGACTCTAGTATCGATGATACACAATACACACAGACAGATCAAACATTTTAGTGATCAACGGCATGAGCATCGATCTACGCTATTGGGATACGATGACCTGTGTCAACCAAGTCGGGAGCTTGACCACCCAATCTCGTCAGTCGCCACTTACGACAAGCATGGGTTGCTGAAGACCAATTCTAACCCGGATCTTTACGGATCACGTATATGAGTCGTCTCGAAACCAGCGTCAGTGAAAAGTAAATGCTTTCAACAGGACCGCGTCTTTTCGTACAGACCTAATTACAATCTGTTTGGAAGTGAATGAGTTTGGTTTTACGCCGCACTCAGCAATATTCCAGCTATATGGCGGCGGTCTGTGAATAATCGAGTCTGGACCAGACAATCCAGTGATCAACAGCATGAGTATCGATCTGCGCAATTGGGAACCGATGGCATGTGTCAACCAAGTCAGCGAGCCAGACCACCCGATCCCCTTAGTCGCTTCTTACGACAATCATGGGTTACTGAAGGCTCATTCTAACCCGGACCTTCACGGGTCTGTTTGGAAGTAGACGGCTGTTTGTTGCAAGTCACGACCCAGTATGAATTCAATTGTTGGAAGCTTGTGACCCCTCTATGTGTGTTCAGTATAACTGTTTTCAGGGCATATTAAAAAAACACAATTTTCCCTCCCGTTTTACACATGCATACGCACGCATACATATTTTCCTTGGCTGTCCTGAATTATAAGTTCAAATAAGATATTGTTTAAGCCATCGTGTCTTTAAACACAATGTGTTGCTGTAACAACAGAATTTCACGAATATTACGGAGGATATATTCGTGATTCGACCTATAAAGTATTGGGGCTAGAATGTTCTGACTTCGAAGAAAAATCTAACGGGCGACTTGTTCACACAAGTCTTACTGATACAAACACATCGATCTGAGCCTAAACACACGCATGGACACACACTGAGGCTGATAATCTATGGCTGTCCTAAAATTAAGTTTAATTAAGATTGTTTTGGGTTTGAGAACAACAGTGTGTCCTGAAACTGTGATAAAAGGGTGTTCCATTTCTAAGAAACGTATATCATCTTCATTGTATCGGAACTCTTCAACAATATGGTAGATGTGTGCGATGGAATCAGACACTGGTTCCAGGCTCCAAATATTTATAAGAGAGACCTTATTTTATAAGATAAAACCAGCTTCAGTCTGGGCTAGTACAAGCAGCCGCACATACACATACACACGCATGCACGTCGTCTTATGAGCGAAATATTCTCAAGCACGACGTTAAACCCAATTTCACCTCACCTCACCTCAGAAGCGATCCCTCGATCGAGCCATTAAAAGAAAGACGGTGCTTCTTGAGAAGGAGAGGCGCGCGCGCGCACACACACACACACACACACACACACATGTGTAATAGACTCTCTAGCTGGTCTAAATTATCACAGTTTCAAAAATAGAAAAAAAACATTTATCTGGTTCTTTGTTAATGTGTTCATTTCAAAGGGTATATATGTTAGTCTAGAAAACGTATTCTACGTCAATGTGTGCATTCACTCAATCTAAGTAAAGACTGTGCATTCACGAAGAGTTATCCCCCTTTCACAGACGCGACATCCCGGAAGTCAAGCAGAAGAATTATTCGATCACTTCCAGCATGGTTTGTTTATGGAGGTTCCTATTGTAACATTTTGCTTTCAAAGGTCATGATCTTTGTCATAAATAGCAAACAAAATAATCCTCAAATGAACTGTGAAATGAATTGATGTACATAATCATTAATGACAATTATCCCCTACAAGACTGAGTTGACTGAAATATACTGAAATTTATGCTGATCACAATATAGTAAAGTAAAGTATAATGACGCTAACTATACAGTGTTTCAACATTGCACATAATATAGATGGCATCGCAAATTGTTCTTTATTACAGATATGTAACAATGGTCAACAAGACTCGCATCCTCCGTATGATAAATATAAATCCAAAATAAATCTAGACTTTCTTACCCCAACTGATGCAGTGCTGTGGTGGTCATGCTGAGTTGAGATGCAGCAGTGACCAGACAGTAGAAATGTTGAAGTATATGTGACTGAAGATTGGTCACATGCTAGAGAAACAATATAAATATCAATGACTGGCCAAGCTGGCACTGATCAGGGAGCTGAAGACAAAGAGAACCCCATATACTTACATAACTAATTTACCTAGGGATTAGTATAAAGTGCTGAGGTTAGTTTTAAGAGCTACTACCATCTTTACCTTAATATTCTACCTAAGAAAGAACTCAAAGTACACTTTATGTACATTCTGCTATAAAGTCCTTGTACTTATATCTGATGTTTAGGCTTTGTTCAGTGACAGTGAATGAGTTGCTAGTAGTGCAATATTATGTAAATCCTAAGGAATAAATTATTCGCCACTAAACCTAATCCTAACCCTATTTTTGGGAGGCAGACGTGTAAGTTTGACTGCCCTTCCAGATTATTTTTATCAAGATATATGTCTCAGTTATTTCTTCAAGGCTCAAAAGGAAATGTAAAATGGTTTGCATAAAATGTTAAAACCTTGCAAATAATGTGTGGCGAACATATTGTTAAGTTGTCACAATAAATTTACTAACGCCAGTAGAAAATAAGAAAAGACTGAATGACCTAGCTTGCATTAATATAGTGATAACATACTATTTACTGGTGGTGTGGTGATGATTTGTAGGGAGGGTCACCCATCTTGTTCTGGGGAGGTACTCAGATCATCACTTTTGTACACGTATGTGTGTGCGTGGATGCGTGCGTGCTTGGTCACTGATTTTGTACAAGGCATGCAGGGGGGTGTTCACTTACTTTATGCATACATTTTAGGGGGTGTCATTCACATTGTACATGCGTCTCCATAAAAATCATCATCAACACCCCCTAGCCATATATTCTGATCAGATTAATTAACATACATCTGATATGGTGTTCTATATGGGGTTATTCCCAGCCCACTCACTGTTCTATTCAGAAACCTTTGTTAAATGTCACATATGTTTTCTTTTTTTTTCAGACAGTTCAGTTAATAATACAGTCCGGTGATGAATGAGTCAAATGAAGTTGTACAGTAGATTGAATTAGACATGGAATCTGTTAAATCAAGGTTCCGGAAACTCTCCCTCAACCATGTGTGTTTTGTTGGACTGTGTGCCGTGATTGTATACTTGTTCCGAGCTGGAGATACCTATTACTTGAAACCAGTGTGGAGGAAACGAGTTGAGAGCCAGCAATTTGCTAATGGTGCTTACCCAACAGATGAGGATAGGTTACCTCCCCCTGTCATCACTGACCTTGAAAGTGATGGTGTAAACGAGATAGTGCTGATAACAAATGACATGAAACTGACGATCTTAGCTCTTCCTGAGATGCAAAACAAGGATGAGGGAACCTTACCCCATGTGATTGTGAAACATAAAGTAACTCTGCCTTTACTGAATGCTAAAGGTGATGTAGTGAGTCGTCCTATTGTCATGAGGACGGGCTTCACTGAACCATATCAATCAATGGTGCAAGTGAGATCTCAGGTAAGACTAAGACTGCTGAAACCATTAATTTACGATTCATTTAATATGGAATAAGCATGGTCATGCCTTGAAGTATAAATGATTGGAAAGACTTCTGCCCGTATCCCACCTTATATTTCATTTTGCAAGGCCCTAACCTAACCTAACCCTAAGCCTTATTTTATGGCTTCTAGTCAAATCATATTACCTGAAAATATATAAATCTTTTTCCTCATCGTTAAAATTTAGAAGGATACCGGCGGAAGTCTTGCCAAATGATTCACAGGTAAAATGATGTTACAGTGAATACAATCTTTGATGATGGTTATGTTACACATACTTCTTAGGATTTTGTTCCTGATTTATTGCCTTAACTTACTTGTTCTAAGGTATCATAAAGTTGCTGTTTGCACATTATCAGCAATAATTCTTTTAACTAGAGCTGGCTATCGATAGAGATTGATAATCACTAAATATTGATTGTTTACCAATAAATGCTGGAGAAGTAACTTTGAGCAAAATTGCCAAAAATTTCTGAAAGAAATTCATATGTTTCACATCACCAGTGAGGGGTGACATGTTTATGCATGCATTACTAACACAACAGCGTCCTTAACAATATAGGAAGCAGCCCATGAATAGAGAGCTAGCTTTATATATTGTGTGAGTAATTTTAAACTTTTGGCTATCACAAACGATAATGTATGATATTACTGATAACACAATTTTCATATTAATAATCATTAATAATTTTTCCTATCAACGATATTTCCGAATATCGATCATTTTAGCCAGCCCTACTTCTAACATTATCTTGAAATGTTAGAATGTATCATTGATTAAGACTCAAACAAACATATTAGTTTTATTTAATATTAATTCATTTCAATTTTGTTCTATACCCTCTGATTTCTGTAAGAGTAAGTTTTACTCAGCAATGATTGATCAACAGCAGAGTATCCCAGAAACTAAGTTCTCCCTGTTGTTCAGGTGATAGTGCTAGCTACTGAAGACTGGCAGGTGCTGTGCTACAGCCCAGCGCTGGAGTTGGTGTGGAGGACATCCCTGATGCCGGCCGAGTCGCTGAAGGAAGCTTACGTCATGACGGCCATGGATGTGCTAGTCTCCTCACACTCGGTCAAGAAGAATGATGGCGGACTCGTGATCATCGGAGGCAGCATGCTGCATAAGACACATCTACAGACAGAGGAAGAAATGTGAGTTGATATAGAAGCAGTACACGTGAAGAGTAGTGGATATTTTGGTGATTTCCAAATGTTATTTGCTGTGAAATCAGCTCACACTGAATCTAATTGTGGAATCGGTACAAGACCCCACACAATATCAGTCAATTGTCATTATTAATTTAATTTCATTGTTAATGTCCATAAATATTTTCAACCGCACAATTTTAGATTACAATTACAAAACACAATACCAATTAAGTGGCAATAAACAGCAGCTGTAAGTACAAGAATTAATGCAGGTATATTTTGTAACTGTTGAATGTTGAAACAGATGTGTGTCCTTGAAATGAGAATTTATTAGAAAGCTGGAAGAAATGTGGTGTTTTGAAATAGGTATCCATTTGGTAGCAGGGGACTTGCAAGTCAGGTCGAAAAAGATTTGAATCCTTTGCTTGTTCCTATATTGGTTGAGACAGCTGCCCTATAAACTGTCCCGACCCTAAATGTCTTGAACAGTCACATTCTTTTTTACATAACAACCGGGAGCAGAGCATTCTAATTTCAACCCCCTTCCATCGACACCTTTCAACATTTTACAAGCACTGCAGTCATTTATTACCACTGAAAATTACTTCAGATATATTTATAACAGTCTCTACTGCTACATAACATTGTATGGTATTTATCTGATACAGCAATATAATCTGTGCTCATGGATTTCAGACCCATGCAGAACCAGGTTAGAGTTGATCTTCAGTAACCCATGCTTGCCGTAAGAGGCGACTAACGGGATCGGGTGGTCGTTGTCGCTGACTTGGTTGACACATGTCATCATATCCCAATTGCATAGATCGATGCTCATGCTGTTGATAACTGGATTGTCTGGTCCAGACTTGATTATTTACAGACCACCGCCATATAGCTGGATTATTGCTTAGTGCCGCATAAAACTAAACTCACTCACTCATGGATTTCACCAAATTGATAAACATGAAAGATCTGCAACACTTTCGGCTTTTCTCCTACATCAAGCTGACATGCTTCTTTTGACTGAAACATTGTTTAAACAACATTAAACCGAACTCCTCACTCTCTCTTATCCAGGCTTCATTTACGGAACCACACGGAGGAATCTCTGGACAGAGGGCATTTCTCAACATTTGCTGTCAGTGGTAGAAATGGGTCTTTGCGATGGAGCCATCTACCGGGAGATTTTGGCGAGCAGCCGCAGGACATCAAGGCACGGCCATTTAACTCTTCACGTCAGGTTCGGTGCTGCTTGTGAATGTCGCTTCTCACTAACACATTTTGCCTTGTTTCCAATAACAAACAGCACATGTTAGCTGTGTCTGCGGTGCGTAATCACTCATATCATTCCGGCACAAGCCAAGCTAATTTGTGTACCTCTTGTTCCTTCTATAGAAAACTAGAAGTAAACTTGTTGTGCAGCAATCGTTATTGCAGGTAATGCATTTTGCAGGTAAGTATAGATCGATTATCGATAAATATTGGGGCAAATTTGCAAAATAAAATCTGAAAAGAAATCAACCTATTTCACTTCACTGATTAGTGGTGACGCATTTATGCATGGATTACAAGCAACTACAAGTGAGTAGTGTATTCAGTAAAACATTATCTGCAACTTGCATTCTGTCTTTGGTACAAGTTTCTTTTGGTAAATCTTTATTTCATCACAATATTTATGCAAGAAATTATCAATGACAGAGTTTGAATAACTATAGTTAATAATACTTCATGTCAAGAATGTTTCCGATGATCAGTCTTTTTAGCCAGCCCAGACATGTATTGTGGGATATATTGCATATATTATTACTTATTTTGTTGCACTTTAAGGGAGAATGGTTTCTGCATTTGGCAATGTGTCTCAATTCATTTTACTTCATTTACCTTGTTTTTCTGTTTTTGTGTTAGCTCCAAGAATGTGGTGTGTAATTGGTTCTGTCACATTCAAGCACTCATAAAATCTACCTCCAGGCCTCTGATCAGTATACATGCACAGACTTTGTTTGCGCTTGTCAGGTCTTCCAGGATGTCAGTCTCTTGTTATGGAGTCAGGCCTTCCTTCACCATTTACAGGTTACATGTTCAGTAGAAACATTGAAAGTGTTTTCTCTTGTGTTCTTTATATCATGAAAGTTTACAATATTGTGTTCTGGATGTTATAGGAAGGTGTACAATGTTCAGTTCTGAACATTATTTACATGTACAATGGTGTATTCTGTACATTTAGGTGTACAATGGTGTATTCTGTACATTTAGGTGTACAATGGTGTATTCTGTACATTATTTAGGTGTACAATGGTGTATTCTGTACATTATTTAGGTGTACAATGGTGTATTCTGTACATTATTTAGGTGTACAATGGTGTATTCTGTACATTATTTAGGTGTATAATGTTGTTGTGTACAGGAGAATGGAGGGGAACACCACTGGAAACTGGGCCTGAGAAAGAACAGACTGCACAAGGGGGAGGTGCCCTGGAGGGTCTACAAGGACAAGATAAAGTCTCTATTGGTGAGTGGATCATCAGCAACCAAAGTAGAAAAGGTCCTCGGTACAAGCATATCTGGGGATTCTGGGGTGGAGTAGATCCCCAGTACACTTTGCTGATTGCAAAGATGAAGTGGTAAACAAAATCTGGTTGATTATGTATGTTGGAGCTACTTTCATTGTTGCTCATGCTCTCCACCACTGGTTGGTCCATGCTTGATTTACCCTGGTTGTTAATACTGCTGACTCGTGAAAATCACATTCGCACACCTTATTATTCCCTTTCATTAATTACTCAGATGACAACTAATCTACCTTTTTGTCCTTTACAGCCCCACATGTGGACTGGCTTGGCAGACACCAAGTTCAAACTGGCTCGCTTTCAGAAAGAGGCTCCGGTTCCAGAGACTGATGATGAAGATGAGGATCAGGAGCCCTTCCAGTCCACGGCTCTCAAGCCAGAGCACATTGTTGGATATGCCTATGGTGGTCTGAGGCCTCACAGTGACGCCGAACATGTCGACAACCCCAACGCTGTCGTCATCCATCGAGACACTGGAGTAGAAGTGCTCAATCTGCTGTCAGGTAAGGTGACAGACCATCTGTGGATGGCTTCTGATGCTGGTGGACTAAGGGCCTGTTAGTAGCCTAGTAGTGAAAGTGTTCGTTTATGTTATTGTGGACCTGAGTTTGATTCCCCACACTATCTGTGCACCCAATTTGTGCTCTCCACCATATGTGATGGAACTTTGCGAGAAGCAGCCATCTTGACTGCCATGATCAGGCAGATGAAAAATACATGTGTAAAATGAATGCTATGATTACACTGATCAACCCTTACGTATGTACCAAACTCTTCCAGTGTTTTACAATCACTTCTATTACAGCATTTACTTCATGTCTAAGGACATGATCAGACTTATTTGCATGTGCACACAAAAGAGTAACATCATGTCTGTATATGCTATAAAAATTAGTGTCATCATATCTAAATAAACACACAAGACAGTGACATTATCTCTGCTTGTAAACACAAAACAGTGACATTATGCCTTGTATATACACACAAAACAGTGACCTCATACCTTGCATGTACACACAAAACAGTGACTTCATGTATGTATGTATGTATGTACACACAAAAGAGTGACATCGTGTATGTATATACACACAAAACAGTGACATCATGCCTTCCATCTACACACAAAACAGTGACATCATGCCTTCCATGTACACACAAAACAGTGACATCATCCCTTCCATGTACACACAAAACAGTGACATCATACCATTCATGCACACACAAAGCAGTGACATCATGGCTTCCATGTACACACAAAACAGTGACATCATGCCTTCCATGTACACACAAACAGTGACATCAGGTATGTGTACACAACTATATGATGTCACTTATTTATATGATTCTGGGGCATCCCCATGAGGATTCTGGATGAGGGAAGGTTCCATTGAGCCTAATGCAACTAAATGGGTCAGACAATAAGGTGAGGTACATTGCTATGATGTTAAGATATTGTGTTTGTCTGGATCAGCCTGGATTAAACATGGCCCACAAAAAACAATCAACAGTCAACAGTCTGTGATATCTGTCCCTAGGTCGCCCGATGACAAGAATGGAGTTCCTGCCTGACTCCTCAATCTACATGGACGTGGATGGGGACTGGGAGCCAGAGAAGATAACATGGGGACAGTTCAAAGACCACACTGTGTGCTACCTGGAGATCTGGCGCCAGCAGCCCATCAAGGAGAAGCTGGACCAGCTGGCCGTCTGCATCTCCAAGCGGATGGTGTGGACGCGGTCATGGGCACTTGAGGAGGACTTCTACAAGAAACTGCCACCCTACATCACCCAGAAGTAGGTCACTGGATCACCATCTCTAGGTTATAACAACTTGAACCAAATTTGTGAATCTATGTAGAATGAAAACATGGTCTGATATATGTTGAGGTTTCTAAAGCAGGAAAAGTGACATGTATCCCTTTGTAAGTCTGTTAATATTTGCACTATGATCATGCTTATGGCTTTTACAAGAGTGTTAATGTCTCTTGTTAGATTAACTATGACCCTGAAACACTCTTCAGTGTAACATTCCAATCTTGTTCTTGGCTGCTATAGCATACTAATTACTACTCTGTCTTTCAATAAAACAACTCAAGTATGCTCATATTTCCTGAACATTTGCAAAGGCTTGATTTGGATGCACACAACTGAATACCGACAGTTTGTGACTTCAGTCTTAAGTCACATCTCCCGAGGTCTTAAGACCTTATTGCTAATATCAACTTATAACATATTGTGTGTGTTTTTACCCCCTGACCATTTCAAATGGGCACCCATTTCCTAGTAAATGGCTTATCAATAAATAGATCAGTTGCCTTGCCCTATAGGAACTGTAAAAATAAGCATGTTTAGACATCTCATGATGTTCTCCAGTGAATACTGGAAACTGTAAGCAATGATGTAGTTTATGTATTTAACATTATGTTTCTACTTGATATTTAGTATTTAGGTCTAAGGCATGCCTGCAGTAAACATGAATGAATGAAACTAACGACTTAGCCTTTCTCTCCAGTGTTGCCAAGAAGAAGGGAATCATCTCACATCTACTTGGCCGTCACTTGTCATCTGACTCCCGTTTTGACGTTGTGTCCGTCACCAGCCTGGGCAGAGTGTCCTCCTTTGATTTGGAGGGAAACATCCACTGGCAGGTAGGGAGACCAGGATCTATCAGTTGCCTGGTAACAAGTCCATAGTGGCTTATGGGTAATGGGATACATGAGCATTGTCATTTTATGCATTTGACTTTGTAGAAAAGACTTGAAGTGTTTTGTTTTAGTAAAGAGTAACATTAGTGGACAATGCCTCCTGCATTAACCACTGAAAAAACATGACCCTCATTTTCTGAGCAATATTGTCTCTCAAGCTCTGTATATCTGTTTTCTGGCTTATTTGTTACCTGGTACACTTTGTACCCTATCTTGTTGCATCATCACCACAGAAGCTGACAACTGGATATTGTGACAATTTTGCTGAGGACAGGGAAACTCCTAAGGCAGTATCACGCATTATATCATCCTAGTTGACAGCATTATTTTGGTTGCTAGGCACAAACCGTGGCAACGTGGTCGACCCTAGCTGTGGCAGTGAGAAAAGACAGGAAGCGAAAACAGGCCAGCACTAAGGAGTTCTTTGATTCCTTCATGCCCAGCAGGGTGCCCATGTCGGTGAAAGTCTTTGGACACAAGGTAAGTCTGAGATGCCTTCTTGTTAATCTGGATCCACTTGTTAACATAAGGTTAGAAACACCTTTGCATTGAGCAGGGTCACTATACCAGTGTCTTTAGACACAACACCTACCTGTTTGGCTGTGTGGGACACGAGGAAAGATTAAGACACCTTCATGTTGAGCTGAGTGCCCTTGTGAAAATGTTCAGTCACAGGGTAAGGCAATTGCAAACCAAATCTGATGCCTTTTATATTTTTATCAATGGATCTGTTAATCACTTAGACACAGCCATTAATCCACAAGTCCAGACATCAGGTTGTAAGGACTACTTGTTGATATATTATAAGTTGTTCACTGGTCACGAGGGGGCATGGGTTGATGTACCCTTGATGTTTGTTTATGTAACATAAGCATACATCGAGGGTACATCAACCCATGGGACCCGAGGGACCAGCTGAACAACGTATTTATCTTAACGAACACCTTAATGTTAATTTTGAATTGTTTGAAGCATGGGTACAAATCTTTTTGTAGCCATCACTAGATTTTGCTGACAAGAAAAACAGATTTAGAGTTATCTCCCTTCCATCGATTTGCATTCGCAAAACATCGGTAATTTCCGTACATCATACGTGATTCAATGTTATTCGAGATAAAGAATTACTACCACGATGTACAGAATGAGTTGCCATTGACAGCGGGTACATTGAAATGTTACTCGCTTGTAAGCGGGGTACATTGAAAATAATAGAAGAGCGCTCAGCCAATCAGAAAGCGACATTTATGTGTGAGGTAAGATAAATGCATATATACATACAATCTGTTCAGATTTGCATGCTTTAGTGGTGGCAGGATCTGCACCATGCTGATAGAGGGGGCGGTGGGGTAGCATAGTGGTTAAAGTGTTCGTTCGATATCCCTGGTTCGATATCCAACATGGGTGCAATATGTGAAGCCCATTTCTGGTGCCCCACACCGTGATATTGCTGGAATATTGCTAAAAGCGGTGTAAAACCCAACTCACTCATTCATACAGTCTAAAGTCCATACATAGTTATTTTATAGTTATTTACTTGAACTGCTACTCCTAATTAAGTTAGAAACGTTTTGCTGTAACACATGATGTCTGTCTTCCCATGTTGTATTCTATTATGAGAATGACTTAACCATGATATGAAGTCATCTTTTACCATATACAGTAGAACATATAGCACACCCATTGAAGGTGGGTACAGGTTCTCATGTCTTGCAGGACACACTGGCCGTGGCAGGCTTCAATGGTATCAGTGTGGTAGACCTGAAGGAAGGACACGTGTTGGCGGAACACACCATCCCAGCACCCCCGACAGCACCTCTCTTTGTGGGCGACTTCAACAATGACGGCCTCAATGATGTGGTTCTCACCTGTAAGATGGGGTAGGTAGAGACAGAATAATGAATTGATTATGTTCAGCTTGTGCACTTTTGGACCCAATGTGCCTTTTTGACATGTCAGCTATAATGTTATTTTTAGATGTACTATCAACTATAGTCGAGTTTCAGGCAAATCATACCTGAACTATCACCATGTTAGAAATCAACACAATATTAAGGTACACAGAGCATCAACTGTTGTCTTGTTACAGGTACATTGGGTTCGTGCTGCAGTCCAAGACAAACCACGAGTTCACAGCAATGTATGCCACAGCCGTTTTCCTGTCCATCTTCGTCATCACAATGTGCATGTCACCTGATGTGTGGTCCAAGTCAGAAGAGGATGAGGAGTAGGCGGTATCATGGACCTCTCACTGGTGTAGGCATACCAGCAGCTGTTGGAGGAGTGTGGGATCAAGCAGGATCAGTGTTCTTCTGGACTTGTACAAGAGTTGTCTACAAGGGTGTGAAGTCATTCCAGATGTGAGGAGCCTTTGCACACAGATGCTGGAGCATCCAGTTCCATAGCACCAGGAACGGACCACCTTACTTCCAACACATGGACATGGCAGGAAGCCTTGAAGTATTCCTGCAGGCTTTCACCACCAAATTACCCCATGCATAGTTCTATGATGGTCTCTCATCCATTTTCCATCCATCCATCCATCCATCCATCCTTCCATCTGTTCATTCATTTGTCCATCCATACATGAAATTGTCTGTTAATAATGAAGGAGAGTTCAGCCTCAATATCTGGGAATACAAACACAAATCAATTCTTATGGGTTTTCTCTTCACAGAACAAGAATGAATGTTTACTTGAAAAAGAGAATGGCACCAAGAAACTCTCTGCTTATTCACAGTGTGCTTGTATTCTGTGTGCTTAACACTGTTATGTTTTAGGGATTGGTACAACATCCAGATACAAACTGAAACACTTTGAAAATGCATATCCAGATTTATGTAATTTGTGACAAGTTGACCAAAAAAGTCGATATTCTGCTCTGTATATCTAGGCATTTGATAATCAAGCACGTCAATGTTTCCATGTAGGTTTGAACATAAGAACCTGTCTTATGTTCTTCTTTGCGAGTTAGTATGAATAGAAATGAATCCATCCCAATGGTGCCTCCTGTCTGGACAGGCATGGTACTTTAGGCAATCTCTGTATTGTTATAGTTTTCATTGTGCTTCCTTCATATGTAATACATGTTTAAGAAGATGCCATTTCCACAGGACTGTTTGTTAAGAGATGAATGTGTGATATATGAGAGCAGTATTTATTGAATAAATGCTATATTTGTAAAGTGGTTTTTGTTTGGTGATGATGGACGATGTCACAGACCAGCATCTCCAACACAGAGGTGACTTAATTATGTTATCTGCTTTTGTTGGTGACTATTTATTTGCTGTATAGTTGGGTCTGGACCAGACGATCCAGTGATTGACATGAACAGTTGGTCAATACGTATGAAATAACGATGACCAGCAATCCACACAGTTCCAAGGGCACTTGTCACAGGACTACAGGTATGAATATACTGATGTAGGTATGGGTTGCTGCAGACACCTGGTGCTCTGCATCCTTTGCCTGTCATCTAAGGTTTGTGAGGGATGGTGCATCGGTGGATCACTTGTCATCATGCCACCTTGGCATTGTTCATTATATCAATCACCAGTTTGTCTGGCCCAAACTACAAGCTGCCATCATATAGCTGGACTTTTACTGAGTACAGCCCTCAACAACAAACCTAATGTTTAAACCATGAACAGGGAAATGATTACTCTGAAATTATTAAATTTGTTGGAAAACAGGGAAGTAAGTACAGTGGTTAAAGAACGTTGAAATGATTACTGTGGTAGGGGACCCACAAAATTATTGCAGTGGTTAGAAAACAGGGAAAGGAGTACAGTGGTCGGGAAACAGGGAAATGAGTACAGTGGTCGGGAAACAGGGAAATGAGTACAGTGGTCAGGAAACGGAAAGGAGTACAGTGGTCAGAAAACGGAAGTGAGTACAGTGGTCGGGAAGCAGGGAAAGGAGTACAGTGGTCGGGAAACAGGGAAAGGAGTACAGTGGTCGGGAAACAGGGAAAGGAGTACAGTGGTTAAAGAACGTTGAAATGATTACTGTGGTAGGGGACCCACGAAATTATTGCAGTGGTTGGAAAACGGAAAGGAGTACAGTGGTCGGAAAACAGGAAAGTGACTACAGTGGTCGGGAAACAGGGAAGTGAGTACAGTGGTCGGGAAACAGGAAAGTGAGTACAGTGGTTGGGAAACGGAAAGGAGTACAGTGGTCGGGAAACAGGAAAGTGAGTACAGTGGTCGGGAAACAGGAAATGAGTACAGTGGTCGGGAAACAGGGAAAGGAGTACAGTGGTCAGGAAACAGGGAAAGGAGTACAGTGGTCGGAAAACAGGAAAGTGAGTACAGTGGTCAGGGAAACAAGGAAATGAGTACAGTGGTCGGGAAACAGGAAAGTGAGTACAGTGGTTGGGAAACACGGAAATGAGTACAGTGGTCGGGAAACAGGGAAGTGAGTACAGTGGTCGGGAAACAGGGAAGTGAGTACAGTGGTCGGGAAACAGGGAAAGGTGTACAGTGGTCGGGAAACAGGGAAAGGTGTACAGTGGTCGGGAAACAGGGAAAGGAGTACAGTGGTCGGGAAACAGGGAAGTGAGTACAGTGGTTGGGAAACAGGGAAAGGTGTACAGTGGTTGGGAAACAGGGAAGTGAGTACAGTCGTTGGGAAACAGGGAAAGGTGTACAGTGGTCGGGAAACAGGGAAGTGAGTACAGTGGTTGGGAAACAGAGAAAGGTGTAGAGTGGTCGGAAAACAGGGAAAGGAGTACAGTGGTCAGGAAGCAGGGAAATGAGTACAGTGGTTGGGAAGCAGGGAAGTGAGTACAGTGGTCGGGAAGCAGGGAAGTGAGTACAGTTGTTGGGAAGCAGGGAAGTGAGTACAGTGGTCGGGAAACAGGGTAAGGTGTACAGTGGTTGGGAAACAGGGAAAGGTGTACAGTGGTCGGGAAACAGGGAAGTGAGTACAGTGGTCGGGAAACAGGGAAAGGTGTACAGTGGTCGGGAAGCAGGGAAGTGAGTACAGTGGTCGGGAAACAGGGAAAGGTGTACAGTTGTCGGGAAACAGGAAAGTGAGTACAGTGGTCGGGAAACAGGGAAAGGTGTACGGTTGTCGGGAAGCAGGGTAGTGAGTACAGTGGTCGGGAAACAGGGAAAGATGTACAGTTGTCGGGAAGCAGGGAAGTGAGTACAGTTGTCGGGAAGCAGGGAAGTGAGTACAGTGGTCGGGAAACAGGGAAGTGAGTACAGTGGTCGGGAAAGGAGTACAGTGGTCAGAAAACGGAAGTGAGTACAGTGGTCGGGAAACAGGGAAATGAGTACAGTGGTCGGGAAACAGGGAAATGAGTACAGTGGTCAGGAAACAGGGAAATAAGTACAGTGGTCGGGAAACAGGGAAAGGAGTACAGTGGTCGGGAAACAGGGAAAGGAGTACAGTGGTTAAAGAACGTTGAAATGATTACTGTGGTAGGGGAAACACGAAATGAGTACAGTTGTCAGGAAACGGAAAGGAGTACAGTGGTCGGAAAACAGGAAAGTTACTACAGTGGTCGGGAAGCGGGGAAGTGAGTACAGTGGTCGGGAAACAGGAAAGTGAGTACAGTGGTTGGGAAACGGAAAGGAGTACAGTGGTCGGAAAACAGGAAAGTGAGTACAGTGGTCAGGAAACAGGGAAAGGAGTACAGTGGTCGGGAAACAGGGAAAGGAGTACAGTGGTCAGGAAACAGGGAAAGGAGTACAGTGGTCGGAAAACAGGGAAATGAGTACAGTGGTCTGGGAAGTGAGTACAGTGGTCGGGAAGCAGGGAAATGAGTACAGTGGTTGGGAAACAGGGAAAGGAGTACAGTGGTCGGGAAGCAGGGAAGTGAGTACAGTTGTCGGGAAGCAGGGAAGTGAGTACAGTTGTTGGGAAACAGGGAAGTGAGTACAGTGGTCGGGAAACAGGGAAGTGAGTACAGTGGTCGGGAAGCAGGGAAGTGAGTACAGTGGTCGGGGAAACAGGGAAAGGTGTACAGTTGTCGGGAAACAGGAAAGTGAGTACAGTGGTTGGGAAACAGGGAAAGGAGTACAGTTGTCGGGGAGCAGGGGGTAGTGAGTACGGTGGTCGGGAAACAGGGAAGGTGTACAGTTGTCGGGAAGCAGGGAAGTGAAACACAGTGGTCAGGGAAACAGGGAAGTGAGTACAGTGGTCGGGAAACAGGGAAGTGAGTACAGTGGTCGGGAAACAGTGGAAACGGAAGTGAGTACAGTGAAGTCGGGAAACAGGGAAATGGAGTACAGTGGTCGGGAAACAGGGAAATGGAGTACAGTGGTCAGGAAACAGGGAAATGAGTACAGTGGTCGGGAAACAGGGAAAGGAGTACAGTGGTCGGGAAACAGGGAAAGGAGTACAGTGGTTAAAGAACGTTGAAATGATTACTGTGGTAGGGGACCCACGAAATTATTGCAGTGGTTGGAAAACGGAAAGGGTACAGTGGTCGGAAAACAGGAAAGTGACTGGTGGTGGTCGGGAAGGGGAAGTGAAGTACAGTGGTCGGGGAAACAGGGAAAGTGAGTACAGTGGTTGGGAAACGGAAAGGAGTACGGTGGTCGGAAAACAGGACAGGAAAGTGAGTACAGTGGTCAGGAAACAGGGAAAGGAGTACAGTGGTCGGGAAACAGGGAAAGGAGTACAGTGGTCAGGAAACAGGGAAAGGAGTACAGTGGTCGGGAAACAGGGAAATGAGTACAGTGGTCAGGAAACAGGAGTGAGTACAGTGGTCGGGAAGCAGGGAAATGAGTACAGTGGTCGGGAAACAGGGAAAGGAGTACAGTGGTCGGGAAACAGGGAAGTGAGTACAGTGGTCGGGAAGCAGGGAAGTGAGTACAGTTGTTGGGAAGCAGGGAAGTGAGTACAGTGGTCGGGAAACAGGGAAGTGAGTACAGTGGTCGGGAAACAGGGGAAGTGAGTACAGTGGTCGGGAAACAGGGAAGTGAGTACAGTGGTCGGGAAACAGGGAAATGAGTACAGTGGTCGGGAAACAGGGAAGTGAGTACAGTGGTCGGGAAGCAGGGAAGTGAGTACAGTGGTCGGGAAACAGGGAAGTGAGTACAGTGGTCGGGAAACAGGGAAAGGAGTACAGTGGTCGGGAAGCAGGGAAATGAGTACAGTGGTCGGGAAACAGGGAAATGAGAGTGAGTACAGTGGTCGGGGAAGCAGGGAAGTGAGTACAGTGGTTGGGAAACAGGGAAATGAGTACAGTTGTTGGGAAGCAGGGAAGTGTACAGTGGTCGGAAAACAGGGAAAGGAGTACAGTGGTCGGGAAGCAGGGAAGTGAGTACAGTGGTCGGGAAACAGGGAAGTGAGTACAGTTGTTGGGAAACAGGGAAGTGAGTACAGTTGTTGGGAAGCAGGGAAGTGAGTACAGTGGTCGGGAAGCAGGGAAGCGAGTACAGTGGTCGGGAAACAGGGAAGTGAGTACAGTGGTCGGGAAACAGGGAAATGAGTACAGTGGTCGGGAAGCAGGGAAATGAGTACAGTGGTCGGGAAACAGGGAAGTGAGTACAGTGGTCGGGAAACAGGGAAGTGAGTACAGTGGTTGGAAACAGGGAAATGAGTACAGTGGTCAGGAAGCAGGGAAGTGAGTACAGTGGTCGGGAAGCAGGGAAGTGAGTACAGTGGTCGGAAAACAGGGAAAGGAGTACAGTGGTTGGGAAACAAGGATATGAGTACAGTGGTTGAGAAATAGAAAAATGGGACTAGATCAGGTTTTTAATGGTCGTTTACTGTAATTGGGAACCAAGTGTATACCGCTGCTTAACACTATATGCTCGCTTCTGTCTGGTTGCACTAACGCCTCATCTTCCAGTATGTATAATTGTGATACAAACAATATTTCGTTTAACTTGAGAAGAAACCGCAATGAGGTGGGGGATTCAGATTTAGATTCTTGAATCCAGGAAAATGTGTGGCGTTTGTATGACAGAAAGGTCTGGTTGGAAGAGAAAATAATATGGTTCAGGGACTGCCAGAAAGACTAGTGCTTGGTGCTCACATTGTCTGATTACGGTGATTTATATTAACAGGTGGTTTTTAATTTTACCTCACTTTATGTGAACACAGTGTATTTCATATAACTGCAAACAAATCACTTCACGAGGTTATTTATAGTCCCCCTCCAGTAACAGTCATTAAACTACTAGGGAAAGTTATGTCCATTGTTCTTGGAAGTGTTTTATTAGCATA